TCAACTTAGTAGATTCAAGTTTTGTCAATGAGTGAATAAGGACTACACACCTGTCCAAGCCTCAGATAATTTGAGAATATTTTATAAGTTATCAGTCAATAGAAGACAAGGAAAGACTTGCACGAGATCTACCCACTTACAGATTTATAATTATTACCTTGAATTCCTCATTCTGATTGTAATATTTATTTTCAAAACACAGATAACCTACGAGAAAGAGACTGATTTGATATTCTTTCTGAATACTTAGTTATTGTACCTCTACTCACTATTCGCTATACTCGACCTCTTGTAAACTCTCATATATGTATAAAAGAAACAGTAAACGTAAAAATCGCTTTAAGCATTCGAACTACTTTAAAAATCATTTCTTATTTATTATTCAAATTTTGCATTCAATTATATTAATTAGCTTTTGAATCAATCATATCATATATAATTTCTAAGAATAGCTTAACACTTTATATGTACGAGTTGTTAGTGTCAAAATCGCGCATCAACAATTATCTTTCTAGGTTTCTCATATTTTAATAGATTTTATGTAGCAAAATAATTCTTTGGAATTATAGTGCTTGCACCCATGTGTATTCTCCTGAATAACTGGTGAAATTTTATTTTATTTTTTGCTTAAAACCCATCTAAAGGCAACTTCAACACTTAGCTTTATTTTATGTTTCTGGGGTATGGAACCACTAAAAAATCTACTCAGTGGTCCAGCATTTCATCACCAATTCAAACATAAAATTTTAAACAAACAATGCTAGTTTAGGCCAATGAGCACAAGCATTAAGAGAAAGAGAAATGTCGTTATCTCTATAAAAAAAGATTATTTTCTCCAACTTTAGGAAATAAAAATTTCATCTGTATTATTTTATTTTATAGATCATAATGTTTGTCGGGATAAAGTTGTCTGTTTTAAATAAATAAAAACTTTATTTACTTAAAAGGTGTCTATTTAATTAAGAGGTGATACAAAATTTATAAGTTATAATTAAGTTTAAACTCTCCACATTAATAGTATAAGATAGAACAATTTAAGTCTAAGATTTTATGAAATTTTATAAATAGTTTTGAAGTTTATTTATTGACGTAATCCATTTAAGGGGAGTTGGAATTAAGAATTAATATTGATAATATCTAAAACTCAAATTAAAGCATTTTTCTAAATTATTAGGCAATTAAAATAGTTTAATAATTTATTTATTTATTTTAAAGAAAAGGGACAAATTATGAAATTATAGCTGAAATGATGTTGGTGGGTTGAAGAATGAAGATACCCAATTATTGGCTCTTACAACTATCATTCCTTTTGTCATCTTTGTAAAATATATTATTCTGTTAGAACTATTTAGAATCCAATTTCTATATTGATTGATTTGATTTATGAAATTTGTTTAAAATCGTCCAACCAATAATCATTCATGTAAAGATCACAAATTAAATAATTAAAATAAATTAAATCATGGTAAAAAAATTATCAGTAAATGAATTGAAAATATTTAAATAATTTATTAAATAAACAAGGCATATTCCCACCCAAGGTTTGACGAAATCCCCAGTTGGTATCCCAAGTTTCATTTATTCCAGATTCTCACCCTTAAAGTAACGGAAAATGGTTAGATATAACGGCTCAGGGGTAAATTGGTCATTTCGCAGAGGAGGCGCACATTAGCAGATTGTCGCCCCTAACAAAGCTTCGGCGCACGTTAGCCAACATCGCCGTCGACGTTTTTAGCCTTTTTCTGACGATTCTTCCACCCAAAATAACATTTGTCACCACCATTCAAACCCGCATCCTCTCCTTTACAAAACTTTACCCTTCACAACCCCTCATCACTCGTCGATCGTCAACCACGACAGTCGCCACATGCGATTGGTTTTCGTCGGTCTCCACCGACGAATGGCCATTAAACGGTTGTTGGGGACATATGGGTTTTTGTAGATTTAGAGACATTGGTTGCAGTGGTGATGTCCAATTGGATTTTCGTCGCCGGAATCCAGTGAAGAACGACGAAAACCTAAGCCTGACGGCGCTGGTGATTGGAGGGCCCAATGAGTCGAGAACCAAAAGGGTTTTGGACGACGGACGATGGGGAAGGTGATAGAGGTGACCAGGGGGTTCGTCGCCATCGGAAACAACCCAGATCTGATGAAAACCGAGACGGTTCGCAGTCATTAAGGGTGTAATTGAAGTAATTTCAAAATAAGATGGTTAATTTTATAATTTTAGTAATTTAGGGGACACTACTCTTACAAAGGAATATACAAAGTGGCTCTACAGAGTGACGTGGTAGGTGACGTGGCAATGCCACGTCATCGGAAAATATTTTAATCCAAAATGTATCAATCTTCTTCTCCACGCTTCTCTTTCGCGCTCTTTCTCCATCACCGTGTTCAACTCTGCTCTTCTCCAACTCCATCACTCTCTTCATCTTCATCTCTCTTCTCCAGTGCGTGGAATGCTGCGAAGCCGCGTGAACAAGTCCACCTGAAAAGTAACTCCACAAATTTGTCCATCATCATCTTCACGCACAACTGCTCTAACTTTATGGAGTGGATGAACAAAGCTCATAAGACCGGTTCCATTCATAAAAATGCATCCTGTGTAAACAAGTGAAAAACATTCTTCAGCAGTACATTGTTATGCTTCTCTGATTGTATAACCTGAAACCAGTTACCCCGGTTTTAGAAATTTTTAAATTCAAACGAGCATCAATCAAAGAAAAGGTAAGAAAGAATATTAGAGCTAACCTGGAGGAAAAGGAGCCCAAGATTTTCCACAAGCTTCTCTGATAATTTCAGTGTCATTGGAACATACCAGGGACCCGTCGCCAGCCATTCCCCATTTGAAATCCACGCTACCATCACGGTCCTAGTTAACATTGTGAACAATAATTTAACAATGTTACATGTACAAGAACACTATTGTAAGAGTATGAGATTGAACTCACCCTGGTTGTGAAAAGAGTATGAAGATGAAGAGAGTGATGGAGCTGGAGAAGAGCAGAGTTGAACACGGTGATGGAGAAAGAGCGCGAAAGAGAAGCGTGGAGAAGAAGATTGATACATTTTGGATTAAAAGATTTGCTGATGACATGGCAAGTGATGACGTCCTTGCCACGTCACTTTGTAGAGTCACTTTGTATATTCCTTTGTAAGAGTAGTGTTATTGTTTATTAATTTAGGGTTAAAGGTATTATGGTAATTACACTCTCACTATCCTAAAAATTGTTAACAGTGTTATTTTAAAGGTGAAAATCTAGAATAAATAAAACTTAGGGTACCATCTTAGGATTTCGTCAAATCTTGGATGGGAATATGTCGTTTACTCTAAATAAAGTGACAAAAGAGAAACAAGTGGGCTGCGCTGCTCACGAGTTCGATACGTTACAGAAAGAGTAAACAACTTGTATGCCAAAGCAGACAAAATTTATAGATGCCCATATTCTGTCAAGTTTATGCTTTCAAGCAAAGCAATTAACTATTTTAATACCCAATTGAAAATAATTGAATCAATTTCAACCCTTTTGACATAATCATTGGATAATAATAAATAAGATTTTATTCTCATGAAAATTTATGATTAGAATTGTGTGGTATTAAAATTCCAATCCAGGGGTAACATTATCACATAATAGTTGGGAATCTTGTAGCTTTGTTGAGTCCGTGAGAAGAGAAGATGAAAGAGAGAGATTGATAATGAAGTTTCAAGAAGAAGAAAAAGACAAGTATAAAATTAAAAGCAAATAAAATAAAATCAACAGTTAATGTTGTCTTTCTTAAACAACAAACAAACCTAACTCTTGTGTTTCAAGTCACAATATTGTCTAGGTATTCAACCATTTAAATCTTTCAAAGTTTGTAGAATACACTAATTTGACTTGGGTGGGTGGGTGTTCTTGGTTGAAATAATGTCAAAACTTTTTATTTTTGAAAATACTTTTCAAAGGGAAAATAATTATTGTTATGCCTAAAAAAAAAAGACTGGCATAAGCTTATAGTAGCAAGCACCAATCAGAGTACAGGAAGGCTTTATGTCGTCCATGTGCTGCCACATTGTCCTAAGATAGAAAGAATATAGCTGTCATCAACTTAGTAGATTCTGAATTTGTCAATGAGTGAATAAGGACTGCACACTTGTCTAAGCCCTAAAAAATTTGAGGATATTTTCTAAGTTATCAGCCAATAGAAGGCAAGGAAGGACTTGCATGATACCTACCCACTTGCAGATTTGTTATCATTATCTTGAATTCCTCTACTACAAATAGAAGACTCCCCCTTTCAATTTTGGGATTCTGATCTTGAACCCTCATTCTGATTGTAATATTTATTTTCAAAGCAAAGATAACTTACGAGAAAGAGACTGACTTGATATTCTCTCTGAACACTCAGTTATTGTACTCCTGCTCGCTGTTCGATATACTCGATCTTTTGTATACTCTCATACGTAAAAGAAACTGTGGAAGTAAGAATCGCTTTAAGCATCCGAACCATTATAAAAATCATTTCTCATTTATTATTCAAATTTTGCATTCAATTATATTAATTAGCTCTTGAATCAATCATATCATATGTAACTTCTAAGAACAGCTTAACACTTTGCATGTGCGAGTAATTGGTGTCAAAATTACGCATCAATAATTATCTTTTTGGGTTTCTCATATTTTAATAGATTTTATGTAGCAAAATAATTCTTTGGAAGTATAGTGCTTGCACCCATGTGTATTCTCCTGAATAACTGGTGAAATTTTATTTAGTTTTGTTTAAAACCCATCTAAAGGCAACTTCAACACTTAGCTTTATTTTATCTTTCTCGGGTATGGAACCACTACAAAATCTACTCAGTGGTCCAGCATTTCATCACCAATTCAAACATAAAATTTTAAACAAACAATGCTAGTTTAGGCCAATGAGCACAAGCATTAAGAGAAAGAGTTTCTGGAATTATCAATTTGTACTAATTTCTGCATTTCATCACAAGTTGTACAATACAATAATCATACAGGAACAACAAGGACATTTACTAATATAAAATCTTCATTGGTTAAGTTACAAACTAATAGGCTAGCTTTACAGCAAGGATACCCACTAGTATAAACAATGAAATCTGATCTTCATTACTCTTACCACATGCACTGTATTCGCTAACAGCAATTATGTAATTGCTGGGTACCAATACAACTGAAGGATGTAATTTACAGAACTCCAGAGAATAGATGGAAGCTCATGATGGCTTCAGTCCTCTCAATGCCGCAGCAAAAATCTAAAAATTAAAAGACACAATCATCATGCAAAACAATCAAGATAGCAAGTATATTCCCACTTAAAAAGTGCAATATCAACTTTTAGTATGATTCACTAGTTTCAACAGATAGAGGAAAAAGAAAAAAAGGCGATTAAAAAGGCCTTTATTATAATGAATATACACCAGGATCATCAGCATCCCTATGGTTACGCAGAATGTAATATGTTATTATAGGAAACCTTAACTAAGGAAACGAGATCAGTTTCTCAATTAAAGAAAGCAATGAACTTGTTTGTATCAAATTTTTGTTTCATGCACAAGGGAAGTTGAAATTTGTTTCCACCATAGTTGTACACAACCTACATACTGAATGTGAATGTAGAACGCCAACCTCAATGTAAATACATATCAACAATATGCACTAAGTTCATAATACTGTAAATCCATTGTCAATTATTTTGAGAGGTGCTCTATGAATTAATTCAGCATAGCATACCAGATATACTAGCTGCTGCAAGCGCAGATACATTTTACTGTTACTATCAGGTGCTTGCGTGTAAAGATAATTCAGGCAACAGTATAATTGCTTCACACCAATTCTAAAATCATAAAATGAAGGAGCTTTGATAAAATATTTGAATTTTATCAGAATCTGTTTCAATAGAATTTGGGAGAGGAGTTTTGAAACTCTACCATTAAAATTTCATAATTATTCATGCATTTGAGTATTGCCTTATTCTAGTAATATCCTATAGAGTTCATTTGTGTATAAAACTCATGAAAGATTTGATAAACCACTCAAGGATCAGGATGTAGTACAGAAGATGATTAATTGGAACCAATTAAAATTTAAATCAAACTTGGACCCAGATTTGGTACATAACATCAGATACTAGAAACTGATGAAAAAAATAATCATTTGTTAGAATATGAGCATGCCAGTAATACTAAGTTGTGCCCCTTGTTCTGACCTATAAGTGAGTTTACTAAAATAAGCTAGATGTTTGACCAAGCAATCAACAAAAACATGAAAAAGGAAAAAGGAAGTAATAGGAAACTGCATACTTTGGAAGGAGGCCCAGTGTGCTGTTTCAAATCTGCCCGAGGTTGATTGTGGCTACTGCTTTCAACATGATTAATGTGATTGCTTTGTTTATCCTCTGCCAAAGATGAAGTTTCCCCATCAAACCCATCCTCTTCCACTGATTTGTTCTTTGATTGACTTCTTAAGGAATAAGGTTCCCTATTTTGCATGACATTCATTTGGAGATCTTGATTCTTTTTGTTGAACTGTGTAGCTGCTGCTCGTGCACCAGCAATGGCCACACTAAGGTTTGATGATTTTTCCACCGTAGACGATTTCTTTTCAGCGACTTGTGCAGAAATAGATCCTGGTTTCAAGGAAAAAGGATCTTGTGGATCCGGAAGTGGAAATTTTACTGGCAGTGGACTTTTAACTGGAGTAAGACCCCTAATTGCAGCTTCATATATCTGTGACAGGTGCAGAAGTCAGTCCCAATTCAGACACGAATAGAAAATGCAAGTACCAAATATGTTGAACCATATGTACCTTCTTTTCCAAGTTATAAACACCTTGATATCCTCTCATCTCAAATGGAACTAATAATTTCTACATTTGATTGCATCAGAAACACTTCATCAAATTCTTTTAGTAATTGTTGAATGGTAACTTACAGCAGGGTGAAAGTACTAACCTGAGGATTTTCGCAAAGCCAGCAAAAATCTGTTTGTGCTTCTAGCCTCACCTACAGTGGAAAAATGGTATCAATTAATCAACATAGTCGTGAAGATTGCAAGATGACAGGAAGTTGATAAACCAGATAACAAAAGGATCAGGGAAGTGGGTAGCTCACCCCTTCAGGTAACACTTCCCAGTTTGCTGCTTCTTCACACTTAACACAGCCAACTACTTCAACACACCCTGTATGATTCATGAGGTCAGGCCGATAAATAAAAAAATTTAGACTTCAAAGAAAGAATAGGGTAGAAATTGAAGAACTTCCATGATTTCATGCTAGCTAAACACAGACAGTGAAGCAAAGAAGAGTAATGACCACTTTGGACTATTTCTCACTTGAAATCAAAAAGATGCTAAAATAATTGGATTGGCTACCTTAATTTTACCATTCTACTCACACCACACTCAATCCAAGTCTATCTCTTTCTTGTGTTTGTTTTCAGCGGTTTGTGCGCCCATACACCTGCCGGGGACTCAAACACAACACACAGAGAGACATCGACAACTCTAATGAAAAAAGTACCAAATGGACATGCTATTCTGCCAACTAAACTGAAGTTTTGATCAGGTATTCAATAAATTACTTATGACAAGATATTTCAAGATAGCACATTCTTGCCATGTTAGTTGCATGATTATGATTTACAGGTACCAAGATAGCTAACACGATTTAATAAGTCCGCATGCCAGACATTCTCATTTTTTGTTTTATCATACCATAAAGCAGATAATCATAAAGAATATATAAGAGAAATATGAAGAGTATAAATGAAATTACCAACATGCAAATACCTAGAAGTCTTGAAACAGGATAATTTTGAGGAAACTTGAGATCAGTAATTCCATTAAGTGCATAAATCTCCCTGTAAAAATCCTCCATTGCTTTTATTGTAGCTTCTTCAGGAACCTTACTGGCAGCATGATCCAAAGACGACCTTCAAACACAAACATCCTTACAATTAACACATTAAAACAGGTCATGCAACTTCTACACTTCCCACCTCAACAAAACCGTTAACTTCTAAAACACCCAAAGGGTCCTAATCTCTAACCAAATCCCAAACTCAAACTCAAAAAAAAAAAAAAAAAGTGAAACCTCTTATAGGGGCAGGCCAAGAGCGGCCTTCAATGCGTTTGATTCCATAAACGAGAAGCGAAGCCCAGGGCTGGTGCATAGTCAAACATGGGTTCGTGTAGTTTCCCATTCCTTGCTTTCTTACTCCTCTCATCTCTCTTCTCTTGTTCGATCAGTTACTCTCTCTTTGGTTTTGGATATTTTTTTTGTACCTTCTTAACGGGAACAACAGAGTCCTGATTCGAAACCTAGAATTTCTTCCTTTGTTAGTGGGAATCTCTTGTTCAATCACAAGATTACACGTGCCGCATCTCAGGTTTGGTCAATCAAATAGAGTTATATATTAAGATTAATAACCTTTTTTGTTTTTTTCCCCATCTGATTTAACGCATATTTCAACTCTTACAAAGTATTTATCTTTACCTTATTTTAAAGTTATTTCTGAATGAAATGAATTGACAAATTTTTATTTATTTGATGTACAATAATAAGGTACATAGTTTGGTACATCAATAATGCTGAATAAAGCAGAATTGTGAATTTGGTTTGTGTAATTTGAATAGCAGCAGCTCATCTTCATGATGATTTATATTTAGCAAAAAGCATCAATTGAAATTTAGGGCTTTCCTTATCCTAGATTTCAGCTTGACAATTTTAAAGTCTGGAAGTAGAGGTCAAGGAGTTTCTGAGTTCTCTTCGAAGGATCTTCCCGGCTGCAGACCTGGGTATGGAGTTTGTAAAAACTACCTTTCTTACCTTCTTGTGTGGAGCAACCTGCCAGAAAGGGAGACACATTGTTGAATGTGTTAATGGTTTGCTCACCATGAGACCATAATGCCGAAATCACCAGGACAATTTAGTTTTGATACTACGTTAAGTAACCGTTTGACCTAAAAGCTTAGGTCAATAATAGTATTTACTCTTGAACGATATCTATAGATGCCTCCTTAAATATGAAAATACAGCCATGGAAATCACTAAACCAACAACTAACCTGTTGAGCTAGATAGTCGATAACAGCAGTCTGGGTTAGCGTGCTTCCAGGCCTTCTTACCACAAATGCCGATGGTATCTCTCCAAGTTCTTCATCCATGGCACTAAAAATTATAGACAACATGGAATGGTGGATAAGATCTCAAAATAAGAATAAAATGAAATGAAAAATCAACAGCATAAATTATAGAGCAATCGGAACCCAGGAAACAGAAATCAATCTCAGATGATTCAAATTCAAGTATGTTTATCAGCATTCATGGGTATGAATTGAATAATTTAAAGCAAAGGAGTTCCCATGGTTCTAACTTCAATAAAGTGACTCAAACACATATACTCTGCAGATGATCAATGCTTGCGTTAAATTATACTAGGCTCAAACCTACTCAAATCTCACATAGGGTGGCTTTCTAAATCATTGTGCTGAATCATGTTCCATCTAGGGCCACTGGGCCAGTTTCTCTATGAAAAACTAGACAAATGCTTCAAAGGGTTCTTCGAATGAAAGGGAAAATGTCATCAAATTGTTAATATGATAGTGGTACTTTTTACCACCCAAGAGAGAGGGGGAAACATGGGAGCCTACTAGAAAAATCTTTTATGCCATTTGATCCTGTCTAGAGCAATATGCATCACTAAATTTGCCTGGCTCATACGGTGGCTGTTTGGTAGCATGGTAAGCTCACAATTACAATCCATAATATTGTATGGCTACCCATTCAAAATGAGCGGGAGTTCTGAACCAACCAGCAAGGGGAGCACCTACCTTACTGCTCCCACTTGGTCAAGAGCCCACCCCAAATCACTTAGCTGTGAAAAGAGAATGACAGAAAGAAAGAAAGGGGGGATTATTACTTTATCCCACGCCATCTCATAATGCCCTCTACTGAATATCAAAATGCAGTGTCTAAACTTACGCTGTTACTGCAACATCAAGTATCTCAGGATGGCAAATCAGCACAGCCTCCAGATCAGCAGGAGCAATCTGCAGAAAATTCATGTTGTAAGGCAAGAATACTCAATTTCACAACCATAAAAAAGTCTGGTTTACAAGATACATATAGCTCAACAAAAGCTGCATCAGTTCTTAAACATCAATGTACTACTTATGGAACTTTGTCCTCCTTACAAGACATTAAGAACTCACAATAAGTTCTTATTACCTAATCCATATTATTCCGAATCATGCCAAACAGAAATCTTCAAGAATTTAATGTCATGGAATAAAATTTTACACCTGAAAGCCCTTGTATTTGATAATCTCTTTTACGCGGTCAATTATATATAGGTACGCATCCTGATCAAAATAAACAATGTCCCCAGTGTGTAGCCAACCATCATTATCAATAGTTGACATAGTTGCTTCCATGTTATCCATGTATTCTGAAAGTTTGCAGCAGCCTATTAGTTCATGGAAAATTAAAAAAACACCTAAGATCATGGTTGGAAGATCTTGTAAAGCAAATTAGCTACAATATTTATGACCATGAATGAAATTTATAGGATCAGCACATTGTGAAGAACATTGATGTTAATAAATGACTGAAATAGTCAGCCAGTCAAAGGCGTAAACCAACCTATTATAAAGAATAGATAAGGCATCAAAGAAATCTGCAGGCTACATCCAAATATACACTACCTAAGGCTGAGGGTGATACCACAAAAGTACAGAAGGTTGCATAACATAAATATAAAGTTTTTACGAAACTCCTGAAAAGAAATTGACAAGGCTGATGGATCAAATATAAACAGAGGTATCTAAGATCACAATCACTATAAACTAATAACAATGGTGATTGCAATTGTCTTATATCAAATAACAAAGTTTTGAAAAAGATAGACCAAACAGGAATGAACAATTTTATTAAATAAATTATTCTTTAAAGTAGGATAAAACTTCGTGGAATCACCTTTCATTATTCCAGGTCCTCGTAGCAAAAGCTCGCCACTAAAGCTTGGAGGCAAGAAGGAGCCATTACCACAATTTACTACTTTAGCTTGCATATTTGGAGCCAAAAGTCCAATTGACGAGTATTTACAGAACTTTCCTGTATTGAAGCCACGCGTTCCTACTGCAGTCGACTCGGTCATGCCATAGCCCTATAAACAAAGATCAATCACACCTATGACCTATGAACTTCTGAAAATAAAGAGACCAGCATGGCCAATAAAAAATAAGTAAATAAAAAAAGAACGAAAGAACAGCATAAATCAACGATCTTAGTATTTGTATCAGTGCCTTGGCTTTCCAAAGAATTCAACATGCTAATTTAAAAGAGAACAATTTTCAACTATAAATTGAAATTTTGGACTTCTACATTTTCTTGTCACAGAGTACATAATATATCAGTGTATTTGGCTTACCATATTCCGATATAAATGAATTGAAAAAAAATATATATATATATATTCTAGTCATTTTGCTACGCCTTAACAGGAATAAAATAGTTATTCTGACAAGTTCAAAAAGTCTATTTAAACTGTTTCCTCCTACCTGAATTAGATCAACATGATGGAAAGTCTGCACAAAATCCTCTATGATTTTCCCACTCAAAGGAGCTGCTCCACAAGAAACCTGCTTCAAACTCTTCAAGCTATTTCCAGATGTGGCCTTTGCCGCCTTTATCAATGCCATCAACATCGGCGGAACAACCGGAAAATGAGTCACCCCATGCCTATCAATCGTTCTCACCATCTCATTAACATCAAATTTCCTCATGACAACAATGCTAGACCCCAATGACAACAGTCCCAACACAAAAAGTGATATCCCATATATATGGAACATCGGTAGAACTGCTAAATACACATTCTTCCAACTCAACCACTCATACTGTGAAGCCTCAAATCTGACAAAAAGCTCAACCACAGCTATAAAATTCCTATGTGTTAAAACAACACCTTTGCTAGGTCCTGTAGTTCCTGATGAATACAATATTGCCGCTGTATCATCCTGACTAATCACCGGTTTCTTAACCAAATCATAATTCCCAGAAATAATCTTATAAAAAACTGAAAACTTGACATCTTCACAACCAGAATCCACATTTTCCGGTACAGCAATAACACTCAGGCCCAAAGACTTCAACTTTTCAACATTATCATGTACACTAAATACTAAACGCACATTACACTCAGTAACTTGTTTCTTGATTTCCGAGACAGTACTCAAAGGGTTGATCGTAGAAACAACAGCACCCAAGTACAAAACCGCCAAGAAAACGACAGGAAAGTAAACGGAATTAGGCAAAAGAATCAAAACGACATCACCTTGAGAAATTCCCAAATGGTGAAGAGCAGAGGCCACGGTTTTGACCAACGGATAAAGTTCTGAGTAGGAAATGGAAAACCCAGATGAGGAATCAATGAGAGCAGAAAGGCCATTGTGTTGGTAGGAAAAAATGAAGGAAACAACGTCAAGAAAAGAGTTGGGTGGGAGGGAAATGGCGGGAAATGTGCTATGGTAAATTCCGGTTTCAGGGGAGTACCACTGCGGATAAGATGTTTGTTTTAAGGTTTCTGAGGAACTGAACGGCAGTTCAGAAAGTCGTTTCCCGTAACCGTAAGTCAAAGTCATTTAAACAAGCGGAGCGGCAGAGACAGAGACAGAGCAGAGCAGAGATGTTTGTTCAATGTTTGCTGAGTTTCTATTCTTCTGCAGACTGCAGGGCAGGCTTGGCGTGACACACTTTTATTATGTAGTGTAATATTTTAAAATTTAGAAATTTAATTAATATTATATTATGATTTTTTTTTTTTTTTTTCATTTTATAGGGATCTGTTATGACACAAGTTTCAAATTACATGTAATCGTGAAACAATATTATACTTTCTTATTTAAGGAGATTTAAGATAATATTATAGTATTATATATTCTTATTAAATAATTTAATTTGTGTACAAATAGATAATGTTAGATTTAATTATAATCAATTCAATTCACAAAGTTGGGTCTCATTTAAGAAAAAAATCTTCCTTATTGAGTGAAAATCAATCAACTCCTATTATAATTTCAGAAACTAATATACAAACGTCTTTTTATCTTATCTTCTCCATAGATTTAAAATTGTAATATTTATATTTACAGAACATATGATGTCTTAAAACATCTTTAAAAGACTATTTATATAATTTAAAATCTTTATTATAAAAAGCTTATCTATAAAAATAAGAGTTTAATAAACTCTTTATTCTTTAAATACAAATTAAGACATGAGTTTAATTATTTATATCTAAGGAGTTAAATTCTATTCTTTATCTTAATTTTATTTAATAAATTAAGTTTTTATATGTTATATTATTAATTCTTTTTCTTATTAAGTCTATCTCTTATTTATTATATATAATTTAAAAAATTTATTAGATTTGAATATAAATTTTATTGTTTATATATAGAAATAAATGAAGATAACCTTTATAACTAAAATCTACACCGTATTTATTGTTGTATTGCGTCGGAAAGATTTTTCCCGCGTTAACTCCAGCCACTTAATGCATTACTCAGTAATAGGGTGGAAAAGTCAAGGCAAAGTGTCACATGCACAACTAGAACACACGTGTCTTATATTTGTTTATCTATCGTCATATGGTACACACTGTGTAGAAAGACACTTTATTATTATTATTATTATTTGCCATTCTTAACTACTTTCTCGTTTATATACACATCCTCATCGAATAGAAAGGCTTTTACCCTAGTTGTGCATGTGAATTGTGACATGTTCCCACCGATGGTTTAGTGAAACTAACACTTTCCCACCTTATATTCCGTTAAAAAATTTCGTTCTTTGATATGGTATAAATAATGTAAAGATAAAATTACGCTGCTCTTTTCTTTTTTTTTTTCTTTCGTCCAATGATTTCGACCACTTTGTACCTAGCCTTTTCACACAAATCAACACACAAAATCTCAATCATTATTCAAATCAACACACAACTACATCATCCAAATTAAAAAAAAAAAATTAAAACACTGAAAAAATTGCAATTCCAATTGAACAAATTACAGCAGCGCGAAAGTCGACCACACCATTGATCCCATACTGTGACAGCATGGTGAGACTAGTCCTTGTTGTGCCTTTGTTAGAGGCAAGGCAAGAAGTAGAACGAGAGATTTAGCTAGGTATGATCCAGGTTGATTCGGTTAGAATCGCACTCAATCAGGTGTGATTTGGCTTGAATCACGCCTAATCGTGTTCAACTTTGGATGAAATAATTATCCTTTAACTCTTTTTGAATTTACTATTTTATCTTTATTCAGTTAAAATTAATGGACAATCGGTGACAAAATATCGTTTTGAAGCTTAAGAGGTGAAAAAGGGTCACTTTGCCAAACTTTGGGTGGGCACATGGTCTTCTCCCGTATAGTCGCTTTCTCGATTTATTAACCTTTTTCCTTTTCACTAGCATCAGTAAACGACGCCGTCTTTACTTGTGTAAAACAACTATATATTAACTTTTAAACTTCCCGGGAACTTTCCGTACATTTTGTTGGAATTAAATAAATGGACTTCAAATAAAATCTCTATCTTCTTTTGAACTCAACGGTCTTTCACGGCCATACAAATTTCTCCAATTTGATTTTTTGTAAAAACCAAAATAAAAAAATAATGGATTCATTNTACTCAGTAATAAGGTAGAAAAGTAAAGGCAAAGTGTCACATGCACAACTAGAACACACGTGTCTTATATTTGTTTATCTATCGTCATATGGTACACAATGTGTAGAAAGACACTTTTTATTATTATTATTTGCCACTCTTAACCACTTTCTCGGTTTATATACACTTCCTCATCGAATAGAAAGGCTTTACCCTAGTTCTGCATTTGACATGTTCCTACTTCCCACCCAAGGTTTACTGAAACAACACTTTCCCACCCACTGTTATGTTCCGATAGAAAAATCTGTTCTTTGATATGGTATAAACAATGTAAAGATGAAATTACGCTTCTCTCTTCTTCTTCTCTTTTCTTCTTTCTCTTTCGTCTGATGATTCTGATCGATTTGCACCCAACCTTCTCACACAAAATCTCCATCCTTATCCAAATCAACACACAACTATAATCCAAATTAAAAAAATTGAAACACTGAAAAAATTGCGATTCCAATCGAATGAATTATGGTTGCGCGGAAGTCAACCACACGATTGATCTCGCACTATGACGGCACAGTGAGACTAATCCTTATTGTGGCCTTGTTAGAGGCAAGGCAAGAAGCGGAGCGAGGGATTTCGGCTAAGTGCAGGCTCGACGATGTAGATGCAAGCCGTGCGATGTGAAGCAAAAAGCTGTGAAATCCAATAGAGGCAAAGGTTGCACAATTGCTTGAGGGAAGGCAATTGACTAGGAAGGGGAGGGCTAAGGACTATAGTTGGGCGTAGAAAATGTGGCAAGAATTGTGGGAAGCGACACTGATTGCAATAAAGAATTTGAAAGAAAAAATTTCTCTCTTCGAGTGTGATTTGGCTAGGTACGATTCAGGTTGATTCGGCCAGAATCGCACTCAACCAAGTGCGATTCGGCCTAAATCACACTTAGCCGTGTTCAACTTTAGATGACATAATTACCCTTTAACTTTTTTTAAATTTATCATTTTATCCTTCTTCAGTTAAAGTTAATGGACAATCGATAGGAAAATGTTGTTTTGAAGCTTAAAAGGTGAAAAAGTGTCATTTCGCCAAACCTTAAGGGGTCGATGTCGTTCTCCCGCATAATCGCTTTCTCGATTTATTAACTTTTTACCTTTTCACTAGCACCAGTAAACGACGCCGTCTTTGCTTCTGTAAAACAAATGTATGTTAACTTTTAAACTTCCCAGGAACTTTCTGTACATATCTTCTTTTGAACTCAACGGTCTTTCACGTCCATACAAATTTCTCCAATTTGATTTTTTTTTAAAACCAAAATAAAAAAATAATGGATTCATTGTCATTGGATTGGAACCCACTTGAGTTTGAACTCTGTATCCATGGCTACAACACCTTTGGCTTCAGCCCAACATATATCAGCCTCCTCTTTCGCTTTCTCTGCCGTTTGCATCAATTCAAAGCCAAGTCTTTCCCACACAGCGACACGTTTTTCTTTCCGTGGCGTCAGAGCCATCCATAAATTCCCCAGTTTCAAGAAACTGGACTCACCCATTCCAGTTCTTGGACTCAAGTCCAGGTTCCCGCAAATGGATTCTAAGAGCCAGAAATTTTCTGCTAAATCTCTCAGTTCCGATGGCGGTAGCACTGCAACAATCTCCCAAAGAGTGCGTCTCATTTTTTGAAGTCCCGTTTTTTAATATTGTTTTGTAATTAATGATTTTTTCTTTTTGTTTTTCAGGCGTTTGGGATTTTGCACTTGGTTGTATCACTTGGGATAATTCTCGCCACGGACAAGTTCTTGAAGAAGGCGTTTGTGGCTGCAGCTATTAAGTTTCCTAGTGCTTTATTTGGGATGTTTTGCATATTTTCTGTTCTGATGATTCTTGATTCTACAATCCCAGTTGCCGCAACAAACTTGATGAACTTCTTCGAGCCAGGGCTTCTCTTCATTCAAAGATGGCTCCCATTGTTCTATGTTCCATCGTTGGTTGTTCTGCCTCTTTCAGTTAGAGATATTCCTACTGCTTCGGGCCTCAAGATTTGCTACATTATGGGTACTTCATTTTCTTTCACCTTTACTTTTCTTTGACTTGGCAGTGTGACTTAAATAATTTGTATTTTGTTTTTTCGTATAATGTTATTCCCCTTTTTTTAACTTTTAACCAACCCTTTGATTTGATTTACTTTGTTTGGTTACTTCTTTCTTGGATTTTACTATAACTTTGCTGGGAAATAAAAGCAATAAATTGTCTCCTAATTTATGTAAACCATACAAATGTAGCCATGCCATCCACTTTGTCTTTACGTCTTGAATTGTATTATGTTATTATTCATTACTTCAAATGTCTACCAACCATTAATAAATAACTTAATCAGTAAATAAAATGAAAATGACGTGAATTTCATTTACACTGTTTTCTATTTATTACCGCGCATGACATAGCATGGCAAACCTCTGACCATTAATGGTGAAGAAAAATGAGACACCAATCTCAATTTAAGACTCTTAACCTGAACTGCGCTTTTCTGTGGTAGCTTGATTTGTATCTTAAATGATCGCCATTGAAAACATACTTGTTTGGAGCAGAGTCGTTTCCTGATTTGAGATTATGAACTAAGCTTTTATGTCAAGTTTATAGTTAAAAAGAGGAAAATATTAGAAAGACCATTCAACATGTAAAGTATGCTTGGATTCGACTACTGTTGTGAACTTGCATTGGATATTGGAGCTGACCTCATTACCATAAATGATAGAGTGAACATTGAATTTATAAATGTCAAGTTGTTAAACTACAGGAAAATTTAAAATGGACTCAAGTAGGAGCATTTTTGAAAGAAATGGTTAGCACTTATTGAGATAGAAATGTTATTTGCTGTTAACCTCGAGTTACATCTGTGTGATTTCATTTAAAGCTTTTTTCTTTTATCATTTTGGGAGTTTGATGCTATGTTAGTGTTTGTTTGTTTTCTGCAGTTGGAGGGTGGTTAGCTTCACTTTGTGTTGCGGGTTATACCGCCATTGCAGTGAGGAAACTAGTAAAAACTGAAATGACTGATGCTGAACCTATGTCCAAGCCCTCACCTTTTTCTTCCACAGAACTGTGGGCATGGAGCGGAGTCTTTCTTATTTCATTCGTCTCTGCATTGTTTTACCCAACTGCCCTGGGGACGAGTGCTCAAACATGTCTCCCCTTCCTGCTTGCATCCACTGTGTTAGGCTACATGGTTGGTTCTTGGTATAATTTCATTTCCCCTCCATTGGTAATTTCTAAACCATCTCTGTATACAAGAAAATGAACTAAATTTGTGACCTTGTGGCATCCAGGTTGCCATCGGATGTGAAGAAGGTATTCCATCCAATTATTTGTTGTGCACTATCTGCAGATTTGGCAGCAGTAGCATTTGGGTACTTCTCGCGATTGGGACTCGATCCTGTTCTAGGTAATGCTCAAGATTTCAAGTTTCTAATAACCATGAGTCTACTAAATCAGATAAAATTGTTGATCTGTAAGCAATTTATAAATGTTCTTTAAAATGGTAACTTTTCTTCAATATAAACAGGTTATTACCTGACAAAGGCATCAACTAATCCTGGTGCTGGTGATGTTTTAATGGGATTTTTGGGATCTGTCATTCTCTCATTTGCCTTCTCAATGTTCAAACAGAGAAAGGTAGCTACCTATTCTTTCATTTCATCACTTCAGGATTTTCCCATTTTGATTCTTGCTGAGTTCAAGGGAGGTTTTATTTCATGAATTGATACTTTTATTCTCTATACTTTTTCAGCTTGTTAAGAGACATGCAGCTGAAATCTTCACCTCTGTCATTGTATCAACAGTCTTTTCATTGTATTCAACTGCTATTCTGGGACGTCTTGTTGGATTAGAGCCAACTTTGACTGTCTCTATTCTCCCCAGATGCATAACCGTCGCATTAGCTCTCAGCATTGTGTCATTTTTTGAAGGTACATTCCTTATCCAACGCTCTGCAATTTTAGGCATACTGCTATTTATTTCACAGAGCTTTTAAAACAAAATCGGTTTTTGAAACTGTTTGTAGGTGCCAATTCATCTCTAACAGCTGCTGTGGTGGTGGTAACTGGTTTGATTGGAGCAAATTTTGTGCAAGCAACTCTTGATAAGCTCCGGTTTCGTGATCCCATTGCTCGAGGAATAGCAACAGCATCAAGGTAAATACTTAGTTTGTTACATTCTATATTGTCTAACTAAATAGACGCTTTTTGAGTAAAGAACACTTGCATGAAGTCCGAACCAAACCCATGCAAGTCTGGGAAGTTTAATCTTTGTTTGTGTATTTTCAGTGCTCATGGACTTGGAACAGCGGCATTGTCAGCCAAGGAACCTGAGGCTCTCCCGTTTTGTGCCATTGCTTATGCTCTGACTGGAATATTTGGTTCTTTGATTTGCTCTGTTCCAGCAGTCAGGCAAAGCTTGCTGGCAATAGTTGGCTGAATCATGCAGCAGGTTGATTTTTTTTTCTTTTTTCTTTTTTCTTTTTTGCACATATTTAAGTGAATAATATAATGCAGGGACTATAAGGAAGGTTCAGCTAGTTACTATGGGATGTAATTTCAACTTGCCTTTTTAATTTTTGGGGGTCTGCTCGATTTATAATACAAAATCTTAAGGAAATGCAGATGAAGGATCAGTATGACACCCATAAAGTGTAATTGAGTTATTAAAACTACATATCAAATTAATAAAAATTACCAACTTTTGGGTTTCTTAATTACTACTCAATTTCATGCAAACTCGGTTCAATAATCAAAATGAAATCAAACACAAAATAATTAGCCTATGTTCACTCCTTCAAGTAAGGTCGATTTAAAGCTTTTTCATCATTTGCAAACTCATACACGGCTTATATTTTCACAAACAAAGATGTTTCATCAGAAAAGCTTTCCTTGCAAAAAACTACTTTTTATATATATAAATCTTTAATAAATCCTTTTTTTTTTTAATTTGAACAAACCACCAATACCCAATGGTGAGGTTGGCCTGTAATTAAAATTTTCAAAGACTATGTAATATCCCTTACAATTAAAGCAAACCTAACTGGTGTGATATGTGAAATTGATCCGGTACGAGTTACTGATATAAAATATGTTGGTACATTTGTACGAGCAATTTTTTTGTGTGTTCAAAGTACAACAAAGATCAAGAAGCTTTCACTTCATATATGGAGGGACTGGAAATGCCTTGTGCAGAAGCACTTTTAGATCTTTTACAACTTTGTAAGTTCTCATAACTCTGCTTTGACTTATTTGTAAATGTTTTTCTTTGGTGGGTTTTTCGTTTATGGTTTGGTTAATGTATGCTTTGACTAAATAAGTGCTTTTCCAGGTGGGTTTTGTTTTAGGATGCATTTTGGTGCTCCCTCAACTGAGTTGGTAAACGATGTTGATTCGAGAACTAAGACCGTGAAAGTCAAGAAACCGAAACCTTCTATAGGTGCCTCTAATCGAATTCGTTCTAAGCTTTTCAGGAAAAAGCAAAGAAAAAGATCTTGCAGTTCTGGGAAAGTAAAGGGACCAATCATCCCGGAAACCAAACGGGAGAAGAAGAATCCTTATATCATAATGGATGGAACAAATATTGATTTCTCAGAAGTGCCTTCCCCTATTTGTTCTTGTACAGGTATTGCTAGAGTGTGCTACAGATGTGGTGCTGGTGGTTGGCAATCCTCATGTTGCACCCTCCGCATATCAGAATATCCTCTACCCACGAGCTCCACCAGGCCTGGGGCTCGCGTTGCTGGGAGGAAAATGAGCAATGGAGCATATATGAAACTTCTTATGAGGCTTGCAGCTGCAGGTCATGATCTTTCTGCTTCGGTCGACTTGAAGGATCATTGGGCAAGACATGGCACCAACAACTTTGTTACAATCAAATAGAAACATTTTGACTAAGCAGTTTGTTAAATGATGTTTAATCATATGATGTTTGCATTGCATGTTTCTTGCACGTTCAGGGAATTTCAAAAATTTTCAGAAAATCCAATAATCGTTAAAGTAACCTCTAACTAGAGAACAATGGATAGAATTGGATATTGAGCGGTTATGTTGCTGACGCCAGAGCATGGGAACTGATTAAATAATATAGAAAAAGATATAAAATTTCTATGAACTTGATTTCTGCTTTTGCTTCTCTTATATTAACAAGTCTCCACAGATTATAACAGGAACAAATAAATACATAGGAGTGTTTTATGAGGAATTGCCTAACACTCAACCGAAACAAGAAGGGATTTGAGAAAAAAACTAAAAGAAGGAGATGATTTAAAGAACCTCGGTGCCTTGTTCCATATACAAGGCAGTCCGTTTTAGGCTTTAGTTGCTTCTACTGGAGCCGCAGCCTTGCTGGCGATGATTTGTTCAAAGAGATCTCTTATTTTCAAACCAACAATGGTTTGGAAGAGACCTGTTCCATTGTTACTGCCAGGGAAATCAGCATGCTTCAACATTTGTTGGGTAACTTCTCCATAGAACTTGGTAGATATGTTGCTTAGATGGCTTTCGACGTAAATGAGCTCATCTAATCTGTCGAATTGCCCATCCATCTCCAGAACAGAAACCTAATAGAACACAATACACAACAAAGTCATTAGATCTATTTTATTTTCGAACTTGCCCTCTCTTAACATTAAATCTTGACTCCCTCTTTGCTTAAAACTAATGGAATACTATTTGATTATCGGATCGTACTATGTTTAGAAGATTCAAAGTAATTACCTCATGGCCGAAATAACTTTCGGGGCCATAAAAGAATTTGATGCCAGGGTATGAGCAGGTAAGTTTCCTTCCACAGGGTATCCATGAGATAGTGGAACCTTCATCAAACAGATAAACTGGGCTGAAATACTTTACTCCTTCTTTCATTATCAACTTAACTCTCAAAACCTTTCCTTCATTATCACCCGGAATCAGCTGAGTCGGTAGCACTTCAATCACAGCATCAGCATATTGCTTTTGTGGATCTGCACCAATTACAATAACCAAACATATAAATGAATTGAGCTTCTGTAAATTGTTTACACAATGTACATGATTTGCATTAAGGCAACATAGAGATTTTACCAATATAAGCATCGAAATCTGGCTTTCGCGCTTCAATACTAGCTTTGATGCTCTCCAGACTGTGTCCACGCTCTGCCATGTCCCTCTGCAAGGATTGTAACATTGTCAGATCACACAGAGTTCTAATGAAATCAATTCATTTTATGTGCAAGAAATTATCATCCAAATGATATATAGAGTAGTATCATTACCTGAATTTTCCATGCAAATTTAACCTCATTGCTAATGTCCAAGTAGATACTGAAGTCCAAGAGGTCTCTCACACGTTGATCAAACCTACATATTTGTACCAAAATTTACTGATTAAGTAGACTAAACAGAAGCAGTATATCAAGTTACAATACATATATAACATTTAGCGTTATGATTGACCAATTTGAATGATACTGAGCCCAAACCCATGAGCATTGAGCAGCACAATATGCTTTTTCAGAATTTCATAGACCATGAAAAAAGAAATAAAATAGAAAATGGGCAATTAATTCAAGCTTGGAAACTAAGACCAGGCTATATGATTTTCCTTAAATTTGAACTTTAGCTACTTGGAATTGGTTTGAAGACGGAAGAAAAGCATCTTGTTTCTGTTCTTTTGTTCATGGTAATTACTAATTTACATGAAAGCATATTGTTCAGAGGTAATGAATATAAACAGAATGGGCCAAAAGAGCTTTGTTTGTAAAGGAGAGGGGGTTAAATAATTAATTGAATGGGCCAAAATATCATAAAAGCCCATCTAGGAAAAGGTGACAAACTCAACAGTTACAAGACTGTCCCAGATTCCTCAGCCATAGAATTAATATCTCCGTATCAGAATTACAATTTACGCTCTTAGTTTCAATAATCAAAGTTAAAACCAATTAATCGAAATATTCAATTCAGAATTATGGAATCTTGAGTTCAGTTCACTTACATTGGATGCAAACCTTCAATGACAAGAATTTTTGGAGGTTTGATGAGCTCAGGAGGATCCAAGAGACCTGTAACATGATTATAAATAGGCTTTTCAACCGGAACGCCATCCTTGATAGCTTTAACTTGCTCATACATGAGATCAAAATTGTTGGCTCGAGGGTCAAGAGCCGTGACGCCCTTCTCTTTTCTTCCAGTTCTATCAAGAGAATGATAATCGTCTAAACAAATGACAGTGGTGGTGTCACTTATGAGCGTGTTAGAGTCAGGATTGCCGCCCTTCGGTGGCTCGGCTGCGCCACCAAAAACACTAGTTAACCTCCTCATGAAGGTACTCTTTCCACAGCCGGAATCCGCCGCCAAGCCGATAACAATCGTCTGTGAATCCCCGGCTGCGCATGTGATAACGCACGTGTTACTTCCACCTCTCCTGCTGCCACTTCTCTTGCTGCTGCTGAACAAAACCAGCTGCTTTTGGTGAAAGCTCAATTGGGTTTTCGTTGTTGTTGGTGTATAGATTGAGCATGTTGAGTTCAAAGATTGTGTTGTGTACACTGTACAAATGGCCATTTGTTTTCTCTTTCTTCTTGGTTCTCTAAAGGAGATGATGAAATTTTGCAAATGGGGCTCTAAAAATGGAGCTCTTTTAGCAGTAGTTTAACATAATATGAAGTATTTTTGGACTCTTTCTCAGGAAAATTCTGGGACACAAATAAGAGGAGGTAAAGGGCTGATGACAGAATACAGATGGCAGTTTGTTTGGATGGACAGAAAGAAAGAAAACAGTTTGTTTTATTTTTCTCTAGTGATGGAAGGCTGATGTGGTGTTTTTGTTTTTGTGTATGGGTTTCTGTGACTACCCTTTGGTTTGGACAAATTTGGAGGTGATATTAAGGAGGGAAAACGGTGGACATGGAAGGGCTTGGATGAACGGTAGAGGGGTGAAATTGTAATAAAAAATAGATAAATTAATATTAAAAAAGATTGAATTGTTGATGAGGTGATGGGATCGTGATAAACAGAGGCATGGAGAAACTTGGTGGGCATGAGTTGGGGTTTGGATATTTGGGATGACACGTGGCGGAAGGATGGTGGCTGGTTAAAGATTAGGAGTTTAGGGTGTGGAGTGGAGGAGATATGGAGTCTATGCATTATTGCCATTCAATTCAATTCTATCTTTTCTAAGTAAGTGAGTGAGAGTTTCACACTCCCAAGTTTTTCAAAGTCTTCTTTTGGTCTTGGAGGACCACCACAAAATGTAATGGCCCAAAAGATTTGACCCGCTACCAGCCTGTGGTTTTTCAATTCAGTCCACATGCTTTGGGAACCTCGAAATCGAATGTACCATTAGTACGTAGAATCTTGGAATCTTATTATAATTATTTTATGTTAAGACACTATTAAACCTGTGGATTAATTGAACTACACCCCTAGGTATGCTATGATAACAAAATCTCTCTAACCATTTCGAAATAACAAAATCCTCCTATTATTAATGAACGGTTAATAAGTCATTCAAATTTATATTTTTACTAGTTAGTAATTATTACCAAATGGTCTTTTTACTATTTATTTTAATATCGGAAACTTAGCATCTGAGGGAGATGTTTGTTGTATTATAATACCTAGGGAGGATTAAGTAATTAACCCTAAACTTATTGATTAACGTTAAAAAAAAAAAAAAGTCAAGCAAGTCAAACTTGAGTTCTTTTAGTAAGTAGAAACCGGCCCCTAGATTCATTAGCAGCTGTTAGGGAATTTGTAGTTATTAGAACTCTGGTTATTTGAAAAATTAATTAATGGTGCATGATTGCAACAACCACAACAAATATCATATTATAAAATTCAAGGAAAAAGGTAATGCAAATTGAAAACAACGTCTCAGCCGCTGGGCTGATAATGGTTGGATTTGTGTTTGGAGGCCCAATACACACCGTATTTCGTCTTTTTAGTTTTTGCGGGATCCTCTTGTTTTCCTCTTTGAAATATGTCTATAATGCAAGAATACCTAAAATTTAAGGTAGGGAGGAAAACAAAAAAAGTCGCAGTTGAGGACCCAGTTTTCCTACCATTGATGTCATATAATGTACTAACAGTGTTACCCGAAACATTAATTAAGGATACCTGACAGACAGGACTAGAGATTTTTATATTAGGAATTCTTTCTCAAATATAAAAGAACATACACCTAAACAATCTGATCTTTTCAAGTGAATCAGGAATTGAGATGGAAAAACTCAAATTATTAATGTATTTGGAGTTCTGTTAATGTTAAATAAGAGCTCTACTCTATAATTTAGTAGGGTTAAGAAAAAAATGGGTTTTTTTTAGATATGTGATGTGGAAAAAGTAGTTTATAATTTATATTATGAAAAAACTCTTTCATGTTCCCTGTTACATCGTACATGATTTATTTAATACCAACACAGGTTTTTTATTTATTATTTTTTTTTTTTTCGGTGTCTGTAATTTACTTCATAAATTGTTACGCTTCGTCTCAACCCTGAACTTCCCATCATATTTAAATCCATATATCAACACTCGTATGGAAAATGTTCTCCTCAAGTTTGGTTATCATTTAAGAATTTATTGAATTTGAGTTCACTACGATTTGGGAATTCGAATGTATTTTACTCTAGCTTAAGTGATCGATGCTAGTAATCAATATACGTGAGAGTCTCAATCGTTTGATGGGTGAAAATGACATAATAAGCTGTCGTAATCGCTTCCCAGATCACAATAATGACTAGTTAACTAACATCATTCCTCAAAACAATTGCGAGGAACCGAAACAGCTCAACCGGTAACCATATTAGCAGGCTTTTCTACAAGTTTATCGCATCTAGTTTAAGGTTCAAAACAATTGTGAAGTTTGCAGTGTAAAATCAGCTTGTGCTTTAAAATTCGGTTGGTGTCAACTTTGAATTTTGAAAAGCAGGTGGTACGCTGCTTTTTAAAATCTTGGAACCACGTTTCTTCACCAATAAAATGGTGGTAGCCGTAGGTTTGCTTTTCAAAACCTAATTCTTGGAACCACGTTTACCCACCAATAAAAATCTTAATATAATACCCATTAGAGCGGTGGAAACTGATAACTGGTAAGCCGCATTCACCACAACAGTAGGTCAGAAGCTGGATACTAAATGAGCAATAGTGGTGTTAATTTTGCTTAAATGGGGGCATAACAAGCAGAGTACCATTTCAGAAATCTAATCTTTCCTCTCAGAATTTGGTGTCTCACATAAATCAAGACATAAAACAAGAGAATACTACTATATATCATACGTAAAAATAAGACCGAGAGTACCTAAAACATATTTGACAAACTTATTGTATCAACTTGTACAAATCTTTACCTAGAAAAAGGGAAGAAAAGCCCATATAATCAGCAGAATAATGAAATAGACATCGGCAAAGGTAGCAGAATATACTAAACAAGCCTCTCACAGTGTCGCTGCAATTTTGAATTGGAACCAACCAAAATCATATCTCACTTGTTCCCCCTGAAAAACAAATAAATTTTCTGCACAACCCAAAAGGTAAGGAAAATTAGTCGAGGAATAGAAAGATCAGCAAAGTAAAATAAAGGGCATTAAATATCACCTACCACATGATTGGCTATTCAAACATAAATTTATATTAGTATACGTGCTTTAAAATCCCATTCCACTTAACAGTTATTTTCACAGGTAAAGAATACTTATTACTAAAATAAATACTTAGCCCACGAATATGCTTGGACTACGTCATCTCAAAGCCAGTGTCAGATAATCAGAAACCATTCACAACGAAGTCTATAACAAACTTGTAGGAGGCAAAATAAGATCAAAAACCACAAAAAATATAGACAGCATTTAAGTAAAATATCTCGTTGGAATGTGAAACTTCAAAATAGAATCAATAAGGTACACTCAAGTAAAATTCTGCCAATTGAATGGTATCCCACCAAAGAATTGCCACAAATTTCTAAAAAGAGGATAATTCAGTTTTAAGTCCAAATTTCCTGCCTTGGGATAAGGATTGCCACAAAGCACATTCCTGAGCATAAATGATGCTCATCCCATGCATTTTTAAAGTTTACCATTGTTTGAAAACAAGTCACCATTGATTCAAATCTACACGAATTACAGCACTATTTCATGCATTACCATAATCCCGGTAATTTCCCAAGATAAATTCTTCCACTATAAAAAGTTTCCAACTTTCACCACAGCCTCTAATCACTAATTAACTGGATCCTCGTGATCATAGATTCATGACAAATATCAATCAATCAGACAAGAACTCACCAACTCAACAAATCTTAATCAAGGTAAGCATTCCGCGATTAACAAATCCTATAAGTCATTCTGCTCTTTTCATTATTCTTTTCAATAAAAAAACCTAGACTTTTTACAAATTAATGAAAAGTAGGAAAATGTAACTGTGGACCAAGTACCCAGAGAGAAAAAAAAAAAAAAAACAGGAGAAAAACCAATTTATACACCTATTTACAATGAGTGATCATCCCTCTGTACGATATTATTAATTATTATTAGTAAGAAACTATGAAAGATGTATTAATGATAAGAGCCGTAGTATGTGATCTATGCAGTATAAGTCTTCTTGTTTGCTCAAACTATACAAAATTAACCCAGAAACGCTTCTGAATTGAAAGAAATAAGGAAAAAGAAGAATCTTCAAACTCAGCAACATTTTATCCTTTTTTCCTTGTCTCCTAGTATAAAAGATAACAAATATTTCATAGCTCTCTTCAACCATTGTTTGACCTTTAATCCTAGTAAACCACATCGAATCAACAACATTCATATATCCTACGGGTTTCTACTTGTATCAAAGCCAATATTTCTGATTAGTAAGTACTGAAGAAACCCAACAGGAGAAAGAGAGAGGGCTGTATTAAGTAAAGCAGAAAATTGCCAAGGATGATGTGCAGAATGTGATTATACTGTCTTTCTTATAATATATGGGAAAATACCAACAAAAAAAAAATAAAACCTAACAGGGGAAAGAGAGAGGGCTGAAATAAGTAATGCAGAAAATTGCAAAGAATGATGTGCAGAGTGTGATTATACAGTATCTCCTCTAATATGTGGGGCTGACAAGGATTTTATGCATCCAAACCCTAACCTCTTCAACATTGACCTCTCTATTTTTTTTTTTTTTTTTTAATCAATACTCTTAAAACTCTTAAGAGGAAGACATTTTCTAACCTCATTTCAACAATCAAACCAAAATAACCAAGAAAAGTGCAGCAATGTCAACCATCTTTCTGCTAGTTTTACTTCGTAAGATAAAGTACACTCGCATATTCTAAGTCATGCTCATTGTATGACAAACTAATTCAAAATCAACTCTTTACACTTCCAATCAAATCATCAATCTTGTTATTGGCATCAGCAGAAAGCTAGATTTCTATGGTGAAAACCATTTAACTTGTTTTCTCTTACCTGAATAACCCAGAGGCTTAGAAGTGACTCTAAGCAAAACAGGCCAAATCCAACAAAGTAGAAAATCTGCATTAAGAACAAGAAAGATATTAATTAAGTCAAACAATTAATGAAATTGCATTAAAAAGTTGAATTCTTTTTTAATATCAATCAGGTCATCTTAAACCCGTGGCAGAGAAAGTAAACTTTGAATTAGTCTAAAAAGTCACCATTGAAATGATCCCACATCATACCCTTACAAAAACTACATGTCCTTAATGCATCAAAAAATCCAAATTCCATATTCAATATAAACAGATCAACGCATGCACAATATACAGAAGAACATCATCTCAGTAACACCATTGTTTTTCTAAGACAAAATGATCTTTCACATAAGGTTTAGCATCCAAAATCCAAATGGGTCAAAGCAAGCAGGGATCAAAATTTCATGTTCAAAGAATCATTAAAGCAACCATAATGGGGAAATGCATTCCACAACAATAAAATTAAAGTAATCCACAGACAGTTCGCTCTTTCATGTAGGTGTGACTAGTTCATGTTCAAATAAATGTTTACAAAGATCTTGGAAGTTAATGATTAAACTACTTATCAGCCTAACTAAGCATACACTCTTTACTATGTGCTAAACACTTTAACAAGGTTGTTATTATTGTTTTCACAAAAATAATTGAGGTTAAAACCCTACCTAGTTTACATCTTATTTACCTCAGAGCTTCAACAGAAAAATCAGTAATAGGACAAAACAATATTCTAAATGCCCACAGTAAATTGACAATAGAAGACATGAAAGGCTACATCATACAACTTACCCCAGCCAAAACGCTGTCAGAGATGACATCAATTGCTGCCAGAATGCCCCTGTAATAAAATCAATGGACTAAAATAATTTGTTCAATACAAAAATACATGATAATGGGGTAAAGAAAACCCCCAACTGTGGTCTCTGAACCCAAAATTGTCATTCTAAAAGCAGATAATAGGAATTTGCAAGAAAATTTGACACGAAGCTTAAATCTTCATATTAAAGTGATAAGATGGAGCACAAAACTAATAAGAGAAACAAATAGTAACCAATAAATTCTATTTGGAGCACAAACTAATGCACTTCACTTATTAGTATTCTATGCCTCCAATCGTGGGTAAAGTGCAGTTAAAAATTTTGGGTTATGCTTCTAACAGACGACAACTGAAAGAGTACTGAACTGGAACCATACACTAGATTTCTATGGTGAGAAATCACCTTTTCATTCTTAAACTCATAGAACTCAAAGAAGGCAATAAATTGAGCTACTTACGCCAATGACTTCCCATGAAAGACAACAGGAGGAGCAATAGCAGCAAATATGCAAAACAAGATGTGGATCTGAATAATACAATTCAAGTTATTAGAGAGGTGAAAAAGCACTAATCAAAAGAAAGATGTCTCAGAAAACAAGGGCTGATTGATAGAACTCACCATGTAGAACAAGAAAAACCAGCTGAATTTCAATGCACTATCTGTCCTGCAATTTCATAGACAAAATCCCAATTGAAACATACATCAGTTGGTTGAAATACTAGTATTTCATTGTAACCACATCATTTTCAAAGTTCATATATATCCTGTCTAAGCATTTGTAATTTAGCTTGACACGAGCATGAAAAACCACACTACATATGAGAAATCAATTAAAAATATCACAAAAAACTAAAAATAAAAATAAAAAGCTTAAAGTAATAATGCAGAAGCTACAAAACAACCTCAAGAGGAAAGAAAAGGTTTATACATCCAAGGAACTGCCAAATTAACCATCACATAAAATTGTCTGGAAAACTACATTTCTACACATATTTATGCAGAGCTTAAAGACAAAATATTAATCAGTTAATTTAACAACAAAATAGTGTTACTAAAACCAGCTCTAAAAGTTATACATACTGGCAAAATTACATTCTTTCAGTGGTCCCCATGAATTTAGCATCACCATAATATTATGGATCCTAAGATGAGACAAGTTCATCAATCAAACTTTAGTATCCATGCTGAAACTAGAACAAAGGAACAAATGATAGTTGCTATTCGCTGGCGATACTGAAAAGTATTAATACTTCACCTTTGTAGAGGGATTGAATTCAATCAGTACTCCTATCATCTTTCTTATACTCAAAGAGCATATACTTGTGATTTTAAAGAGAATACTCAAAAGCCCTTGATTTAAATTTCTTTTTCTTTGCCTCTTGATCTTTATTTATCCGTTAAATAATCCTTAATAAATATGTATGAAACTATGTTTGTAACGTCTTCACCTCACTGAACTTACTCTCAATTAATTTCTTCCACCATAATTTGATAAAAAGAACATCTAAACGATTAAAAACCACAATTCTTTGTAAATGCAACAATGGAGAAAGTTCTTCTAGTAAGAGTTGTGTTTTCAGTTGCCCATCTTACATGCTGGTGACTCCAAGTTAACTAAGTTTAGATAAATTTTGGTTTCCCTAAAAAATTTCCACATGGCCATTGAATGTTTATCTAAAATACCAGAGGGAAAAAGCAATTCATGCGCCAGCAATGGAAACAATTGATCCATCAGACATGTACCAATATTTCATGATAGTGTATACTTTCTTCAACAATATAGAGAACAAACACACCATAGCAAGAGTACAAATGTAAGTAACAACTTATAGAAACTGCATTAAGTGAAGCACCATTCTCCAGTTAATAGGAATTTTTTTTTTTTTTTTTTTTAATAATAAATTAAAACAAATAGATATTGATGCCCTATCTTCTGAAGTCTTAACAATAAAGCAAACACAGAAACTGTGCCAATCCGTCAAACCTTGCTTGTAAACCATACCATTGCAATGTCTAATTGCATCTAAGTAAATATTTTTCCATCAATGCAAGCATAATATTATTTAATTGGGTAGCCATGTAATATTAGATGTTAAAATTTGGATTAGATTAATAGAACATCACATTACTTACCTCATTGCTCTATAAAGAGGCCTGTACCAAAGAACGTATGAAAGGGGGCATCCAAGCAGAGCATAGATAGTTGCAAGGAAAAAAATTTTGACACCTATAAATTATAAAACTTGTCAGAAAATTTGGAAACCATGACAAAAGGCAGCAATAATCTCATCCAAATATAATTAATATATAATCATAGTGTTAGGTCATAATCAAATATTTAACATATACAACTGTTATTGAAAGGAAAAGCTTACCTCCCCCTTTAATCCAACAGACAATCACCGCAACCATGTTGAATACAAGACAAAGAACTATACCTGCAACAGTAGGATCAAAGCATGTTAGGTTACTGTGTGGCACTCAGCAACCAGAAAAGAAATAAGAAAACGAAGCAAGGATATGTCAACAAAAACAATCTATAAGAAAATGATGTCATAAGAAAATGAAAGTTTTCATAAAGAATTTACACAAGTTTTATAAATAGATAGACAGGTAGATAGATAGTACTTAAGCCCCCATACCTAACCAACTTGCAAAAGCAAGATACTGCAGCCTTTGAGCATGAACTGGTATCTCTTTTGAAATGTCATGATGAATAATTGGAAAAAATGGTGGCCAATTTCTATTATCGGTTGGGATATCACCCGCTGAAACGGAACATCACCAACAAAACTTAGATAATATAANAAAGCAATTCATGCGCCAGCAATGGAAACAATTGATCCATCAGACATGTACCAATATTTCATGATAGTGTATACTTTCTTCAACAATATAGAGAACAAACACACCATAGCAAGAGTACAAATGTAAGTAACAACTTATAGAAACTGCATTAAGTGAAGCACCATTCTCCAGTTAATAGGAATTTTTTTTTTTTTTTTTTTTAATAATAAATTAAAACAAATAGATATTGATGCCCTATCTTCTGAAGTCTTAACAATAAAGCAAACACAGAAACTGTGCCAATCCGTCAAACCTTGCTTGTAAACCATACCATTGCAATGTCTAATTGCATCTAAGTAAATATTTTTCCATCAATGCAAGCATAATATTATTTAATTGGGTAGCCATGTAATATTAGATGTTAAAATTTGGATTAGATTAATAGAACATCACATTACTTACCTCATTGCTCTATAAAGAGGCCTGTACCAAAGAACGTATGAAAGGGGGCATCCAAGCAGAGCATAGATAGTTGCAAGGAAAAAAATTTTGACACCTATAAATTATAAAACTTGTCAGAAAATTTGGAAACCATGACAAAAGGCAGCAATAATCTCATCCAAATATAATTAATATATAATCATAGTGTTAGGTCATAATCAAATATTTAACATATACAACTGTTATTGAAAGGAAAAGCTTACCTCCCCCTTTAATCCAACAGACAATCACCGCAACCATGTTGAATACAAGACAAAGAACTATACCTGCAACAGTAGGATCAAAGCATGTTAGGTTACTGTGTGGCACTCAGCAACCAGAAAAGAAATAAGAAAACGAAGCAAGGATATGTCAACAAAAACAATCTATAAGAAAATGATGTCATAAGAAAATGAAAGTTTTCATAAAGAATTTACACAAGTTTTATAAATAGATAGACAGGTAGATAGATAGAACTTAAGCCCCCATACCTAACCAACTTGCAAAAGCAAGATACTGCAGCCTTTGAGCATGAACTGGTATCTCTTTTGAAATGTCATGATGAATAATTGGAAAAAATGGTGGCCAATTTCTATTATCGGTTGGGATATCACCCGCTGAAACGGAACATCACCAACAAAACTTAGATAATATAAAATAAACAGAAACAGACAAAAGAAAAATTACAAAGGGAAAACATAACAAGTTGTGGCCTCATTTGCTAACCTTTAGTAACAGCTTCTTCTCTCCGTTTTATTTCCTAAATAAATAAAAAAAGAGAGCTAGGTTTTAAAAACATATATATCATAAACTAAGAGCAATATGTGATGGCTATAGAACCTTCTGTATACTAAATATTCGATAATAGAAATGTGAAAATAACCTTTTCCCTCCTTTTAAGATCTGCTTCCCATGAAGCAAGCTCTCTCTCTCTTTTCTTAGAATCCTGCATCAAAATAGATATAAGCAACCCCAACTGCATCTAGAAATCAAAACATTTACGAACTAGACGCAATTAAAACGGTTACATTCATATTATCGAGTGGAATATCAACTGTAGCATCGTATTTCTGCCCGAATCCCACAGGTTCAGATGGGAAATGAGGAATGTGTGACCTCGATCCAGGAGCAGCCGCACCTTTCTGCACAGTAACACAATTAAACACACTAAATAAATAAAAATCATCAAAACGTGTAATTCTAATATTGATCTAATTAATCAATCAAAACCAAATAAAAATGTACGAATTTACACAAAAATATCATCAGAAAGGAAATTACATTCCCGTGAATCTAGATTAAAATAGAATTGAAGCAGATAAGAACACATATGCCGTGAATCTAGACGAAAACACGAATCGAAAGGCGAGGCTAAAAAGGGAAAAGAGAGAGAAATAAATACCGAAAATGGATTGACTTCTTCTTCATCGAAGGGGTTGGGATCGTGGTGGCGATGCATAGCTATTGAAGTTTCAGATCCCTAAATTTTGCACCAAATTTTGCCGACTCTTACTTCACTAGACTCAATTCTCCGCTTTAATCTTTCGCTTGTGTGTAACGCGGGATGGGAAGGTGAGGTGTATGGATTTGCCTTTTCCTGGATTTGCCACTAGGATTTTGAATTATTACCATTTTACCTGGAAGTTGAAGTGCCACGTTGCTGTGGTCTCACGCTTCGTAGACGAGATGTACCTAATTAGTAATTAATTAATTAATTAATTAGATAGGGAAGAGCTTTTATTGGTGTAATATTATTTATGCGTCAGATTAATTAATTAATCATCTGACACGTCAATACGGTTTGCTTTTGCTTTGTTAAAGTAAAACAAAGTTACTATATTATGGTTGTAACGTTAGACAATGATTTAGGCAACTCCTTTAAATAAAGTTTATAATTGAATTTATAGAAATAAAACTTTTGCTCACTGGAATTCATGAAATAGTGTTTTCTTTATCAAATATTTACTAATTATTTGTTTATGTAAAAGTGAAAAACGTATATTTAAGACTAAATTATCAAAACAAGTTTTTATCATCCAAAAAAAAAAAAAAAAAAAAAAGATAATGCAGAACTTCGAAAATAACTTTTTAGTCTAAATAAATTATACAAAAAGAATTGAAGAGATTTTTACATAAATAAAAATAGATTAGGTTAGTGCATGCTAGATGTCACGTCCGACCCAAATCCAAATGCATTTAAGACCTAATACCAATTAAAGAGACTTAACCAGACTTGATCTTATTAACACTATAGAATATGTCAGAAAATCTTTTTAAAAGCTTTTAGAGCAGTATTCCTTCACTAAAAAAACAAAATAGAATCAGGATTTTATTTGCTTGCATAAATAATCTTAGACATTCATATTTACCTGTAAACTCTTATATAAAGCTAGCTAATATTTAGTTATTTTCATTTCAATTATTGTATTCATTTGAGAACAATACAATATAGTTTTTTCTCTTCATCTTTATTCTTTGTGTTCTTATTATTTCATTGAGAGTTTGTAGGTTATTTTAGGCTTTGGTTGGTGCCAAGTCTCTTGAGCATATTTAGTTGTTTGGTTGTCGATTGCCAAAAAAAAGAGTTTCATTATAGTAAAATTTATAAAATAATATATTGGGTATTTTGTCAAATAACTTATTAAAAAAAAAAAAAAAACTCAAAAGGAGCTTATATGCATATATGAATATGATATGACGAGAAGTAACTTGTGAACACATGATATACTGTATACCGTATACGTATACCTTTTAAATATCCAAACATATAAAAACTAATACAGTATACCTTTAGTGTTTTCTTCTTTTGTTGTTTGTTCAAAGTTTTTTAATTTAAATAAACACATATAATTAATGGAGTAGTCAGGAAATTATATTGGAGTAGGTTAATCTAGATTTCATTTTTCCCAAACAAAGTATTTAGCTAGAATTAGTGAAGAAAATTTTGTAATCAAAGGCAAAAAAGAATGCATTTTGAGGGCAGTTTCTTAAAAAAAAAAAAAATCATTTATCCAAGAATGAGAAGCCATATATACTTGGGACAAATTAATTTGAAGATTTTAACGTTAATTCATTTAAGAATTAGTGACCAATTTAAAAATATTGGAATAAATTAATAAGATGGGTCAAGGTCATCAAGCCATGAAACTGTAATATAAGGTAAAGTAAATGAAGTGAAACTTCATATGATGGTTGACGAAAAAAAAAAAAAAAAACTAAGAGTAGGAGTTACAAATATGGTCCCTTTTTTGAACTATACCGTATCAAAAAAATTTGTAAAAATGATAATCCCACCACTGCAGTCTCTGGATAAATCTGGATAAATGTATTATCTTTGTGTCCAATAAGAAATAAATCTGGACTATAACGATTATGATAGCTTCATAATGAAAAAAAAAAAAAAAAAAAAAAAACCCGATGTCTTCTTAAAAATCAACATAATGTTGAGTTAAAACCTTAGGGAATCCCTCCGTTGCAACATCAAAATATTATTCAATTTCTGAATCGACTCATACAATTTTACTGATTTCAACATTTAATGATAATAAAGTCCAATCGACATCACATATTTTTCTTCCGGTCGTTACCGAAATGGCCTGCTCATTGGATTCAAACAATGTTTGACATTAGTTGTCGAGCGCCAGGCTAAAGCCTAGCTAAAAGGATATCAGCATATCTGAATTTGTTGTAAAGATCCTGCACAACAATTAAACTAACCTTGAAAGATGCCAAATTTTCCCTTTGATCTGAAAGAACAAACCGAGGCTTTCATTCTCTCGAAAACTTCGCAGCACCTAGCTGTACGTTCAGGCCAATGCATGCCTCCTTCAAATCACAATTCTTATAGCCCTCATCGTGATCTCTTATGCTTAAACCACCAGCAGAAACTTCACAAACTACGCTACTGAAAGATTTTTTATTTTTCATCTTTTGGTTTAACTATAATCGAACATGGCAGGAACCAGTAACGATCGCGACGTCGAGAGCGATCAACAATCGTTCTCGAAGCCGACTGAAGTACTGCCTGATGTGCATAATACTGGTGCGAAAGTTGAGAGGGCTGGAGACGCCTACAGGGTTTATGCGGGGCTGGTGGATAGGCCTTCTAGAGGAGAAATTTGGGTTTGGTATTTGTACGGGCTGTGCTCATACTTTGTTCTCACAACTCTTCTGCCCGTTATCTTCCCTCTCATCATCGGTTATATTGTTAAACCGCAAGAGCCTGGTCAGGGATGGACCAAGACCCGCAAGGGCTTTGTTTGTGGACTTGATCAAATGGATGTGTAAGTTTTCTTATTTATAAATAAATTTCTTCTCTTTTTGTCTAAATATTCTTGTTCATGAGTTTGATTGATTAATTTCAGGTACGAGAGACTAATCCAACGGTCAATATCGGTGAGCAATATGAATTTCTCCCCTTTGGAGTGGACTTCAATCTCTTGGTTTATTGGGTTAGTTTTGGCTACTCCCTTTGTGGGCTTAATTTCCAGCCATCTTGATCATGGTCAGAACCAGCAGCTCGTTGCTGCATCTGCAACAGCCATTGGCGCTCTCTTTTGTCTTCCTGTTGGTTTCTTTAGAACCGTGTGGATTTTCCCACTATATATTGCGCCAATAGTTGCAGCTTACATTATTGCAGCCGCCTCCCACACACGCCACTTTGGTCTCTTGGTTCGTGGATTCACCGGACCAACTCTTCAACCAAGTCAATTCCCACATAGAAGGGGCGTCTCGGGGTGGTTCTCCCTATACGCCACTGCCGCCGGCTGCTTAGGCTCTGCCATTATATCTGCATTCGGTTACCATATGATTAAAAGCAAAGAGATAGTCACCAGTCTCTGGGTGGTTTCTATCTTCAGTGGCCTAATCTGGCTCATTGGATTGTCTCATGTCATCTCAATAAGGCCAGGGACAACTCCCTCCTCGCTTGTGCCTAAAACTTATTTTCTCACCTTGTTCAAGTATCCTCACGCCATTGGAAGTCTGATTGTGGTTTTCATCTCTTCATTTACAACGATGTGCATTTTCACTGGAGGGACACTTTTTCTTGTAGGCCAGTTGTGCCTTAAACCCGTGTTTGTACTCTACTTCTGGCTAGTTTACTTCATTTTCCCATCAATTTCTCTGCCTCTACTGCAACCACTGCAACAAGTTATCAAAGCGAATGCTGTAAAAATGCAAGTGCTGGGTTTCCTCTTGGCGTTGATTACTTCAGGAGTGGGATACTGTTTCCGGAATCACAATTGGGAGAATCAACATATACTGCTTTTTGCCGCGATTCAAAGCACTTCAACTGGGCTTCTTCATGCATTTGGGAGAGTTTTGTTACTAGACTGTTCGCCTGGTGGCAAAGAAGGAGCATTCTCCATATGGCTATCCTGGGTTAAAGCTATTGGCACTTGTGCAGGATTTGCAGTGGCATCAGCCGTTCCTGGAGATATTCATACTTGTTTCAAAGTTACTTTCTGCATGGCTGTCATTGGAAATCTTGTTTTGATTTTCGGAAACATCAGTGATTTTGGGGGAGCCAAAGCTGCGGGGCTTTTGCGTGAAGACAGTGAGAGGGGATCGCCAGTGAGTGGTCTGGATACTAGCATTATAATAAAGGAAGCTGTGCCTGATCAGGAACATAAGTGAGTTGATTAAAGAATCTTGCCTGTTTGTTTTCAAGTTATTCTTTGCAAATAATTTGAGGCCATTACTTACTGCATTGTTAAGTCAATTATATTCATGTGGGTGTTACACACGTGTGTTTGTCAATGTAATAAAGTTTTGATAGATAAATATTAATTCTTTTGTTCCTTTCATTCCTGCAATTAGTTGCCTATATTTAACTTAAGATACTCACCCTCTTTTTTGGTTTATCAACTTACTCACATTAAACTCTTTATTTCTAATGTATAACATTAACTTGCACTGATAAGTAACTGAAATTTAATGTAATTTTGCAAGTTATATTAAACTGTCACTGATTCAAGTCACTACAATAATTTAAGTTAAATGCTCATTTGAATACATATATTTTTTTGCTCTCACAATGATACATAAGGTATAATTTTATGTTTCAACATGTTATGCCAAAAATATACACTAATATTAGCACCACCAATCAAAGTTCAACAAACATTTAAAGATAAAATAGTATTAAAGATAAAATAGTATTAACTATCAAAAACCCAAACCGTCTTTAAGAGATATTTTATATCAATCTTTATCATATTTGAAAATAAGGATTAAGGAGTGGTTCCTACGTGTCATGACAACTTGCAAAAACACTCATTATATTAACTTTAAATGTATAAATGTGCACCTCTCTTCCTGAAAAAAGAGCTGGCTGGATATATGAGAGCTAGACAAACATTTGAACTTTATTATTTTCTCTCTGTAAGCAAAACATTTATCTATTTTTGTATGTCTTATAGGCAATATCAAAAAAATAGTTAGAGAATAATAAAATAACAGTGGATGTAGGATTCGCTTTAAGCATCCGAATCACTATAAAAATCTCTCTTGTCAATCTATTATTTATGTTTCTACAAACATATATAATTTTTGCACCATAAATACTTCTCATGAATTATTCACATGTAATTTTTAAGAATAGCTTAGCACTTTGTACGTGCGAGTCGCTGATGTCAAAATCAAGCATCAACACAATATGACTAATTTACCTGCAAAACCAGAGATCAAACATGGCTTTTCACGTTACTTGAACGGTTAATACTTTTTCATACTATAATTTTTTGTTTTTAAAATAAAATCTTTTTATTAATTATCCTAAAAATTAGTATTGTTAAACAAGGATGGATTCAAAGGTACTATTTTTTTTTTTTAACACAAATTATGAAGTATTGAATTAAGGTATTTTGCATGGTTTAATATTTAATATTTTAAAAGTGATATATATAATTTAGGTACAAGCTCAACCATTTAAATACACTAATCTAAGGGCTAACAAATTGTATCAAAATTTATGAAAAACAGAGTATTTTTAACCTAATCCATTGACTAAAATTGTATGTGTATGTTGATTAACCTAAGATACAATTTATTAGTATTTGATATGGATCACAAAAAATTACAAGAATGAGGAATTATGGGTTTTTTTCTTGTTATATTTTCAATTGGGATGTGGTCTACTCGGGTCGGGTGTTCAGTACTCTCGTTTTACCACCCGGATGACCCGGCTGAAGACTAAAACACTGACCAAAAGCCTAGAAACAATGCCACACTAATCTCGCATCACGAACATTTTATGCTCATTAACACCAACTATGCAGAGGCTCTGCACCAGGCTTCGCTCTTTAACCCTACAAACTCTTTCCTCTTCCTCCTCCTCCTCCTCTCGTCGCCTCCTCCACTCTTCTTCACTCATTCGCCGTCCCGTCTCTTTTCCCTCTTCAACCAAATGGAGCTTCAATTACTCTCCTTCACTGTCAATCCGTTCTACTCCTCTCCCTTCCTTGTACTCTTCGCAATTGCCTCTCTCTGTAAGTACTTAAAATTACTGTTACCGATTTTATTCATCTCGATTGCTCTAATTATTTGGTTCATCTGTAGTTGGTTCAAGTGCGCCGCGTGTCATCGAGGGAGCGGAAAAAGAAGAGGAAGCCAATGACTCCGGTTACATCCAAAGTCAAGAAAGTTAAAATGAAGTTTTATTCGTAGGTTTACAGTGTTTTAGTTGTTCAATATTCAATTTCATTTGAAATTCTATTCTCTTTTTAAAATTTGATGGATCAAATGGTGTTAATTTCGGTTGCTTAGGTCGTACAAGTCCAGGTTTAGGCCATTGAGTGATGGGACTATTCGTTGCTGGCATGAGGGCAAAAATCACAATGCACACGGGAAGGTATAGTTTTCTTCTTTTTTTTATTTTTTTATTTGTTTTATTCTTTAGTTTTGATATATGCTCTGTGATTCCTCAAATAGTAAACACTGGATGTTTTAGACTTCCTAGACTAAATTAGTTGGGTTCTTGATGACTTTGGCATACCCTTTCGTTCATTTTCCATTATTGGCTAGCAGCATATGTGAATGTATTTGTTCCTGTTCGTGTACATTTCAGTTTCATGCCTTCATTTTGTTTTATTGTAGTAATTACAGAATTAATAAGTTTAGGCACTTTCTACCTTTTCGCTGTAGTGTACAAATGTATGTGTATATACATTTCTGAGCACATTTGAATATGAAAGAAAGACTAAGCTCTTCTGGGTGGATTGTTTGAACTGTAGAATATTGAAGCTCTTCTGGGTGGATTGTTTGAACTGTAGAATATTGTAATACTCACAATTACAAGGTTGGGCCAGTCAGGTTCATGAGAACCATGAAGCCATGATTTCTAACTGCACTTTTGTCGCAGTAATTATGCTAGTTATATTTGCAGGATACATCTAGCTCCATCAAAGTGGTGAAGGGTTGGTATTGAATTGGGCAGGGTGTTGATTTCAGCTTTATGAAGCCCAGAATATATAATCCTGTTTGGTGTCAGTGAAAACCACCAGTTATGGAGCCGCATCTTGGCTAAGGGGGCAATGGCTTGAAAAAGAAATGGGTACTTATACAAAAATTTTCATACAACATTGTCTAGTTATATCTTCACCCCTCAACCTCCAATTATTTCTTTCTACATCATGGCCTCCCAAATAAAGGTTTCTACATTCTCCACCAATCATAGCAATGTAAATGTTGAAGCTATTTAGGATAGGACCCGTGCAAGTACTAAAGGGTTCCAAAGGTACAGCAAGAGTGTCAAGATCGTAACCAAGAAAAATCAAAATCCCTGAGTAATCTGTGTAATTTGAACATAAAAGAGAAAGAAGTAAATAATTACAGCATAGAAAACAAGTAAGAAGCAATCACACACCAGCTTAAAATACGTACCCAGTTATGAAAAATGAGATATCCTTAAAATCTTTACAAGAGAGCCCAAATAGCATAAAAAATAAATCTGATATTGTCCTACAAGACGCTGACTTCTCCATTATTCTCTTCAAAGATTCAACCATACCTTTCACCCTAAATAACCACCAAAAGAGCTAAATCTGCACCTTTCCCGAGAGTCTTTGCCTGTTTGCCTTACGAAAAGTTTTGACATTCTTCATGAGTATAGAAGAACGAGCTCCCGAATTTACCTTCTAAACTTTGGCTTCACTGAGAAGTTAAGCCCACTAAAAAGATGCCACTATGCAATGGAGGAGCAAGTGATATGATTTTTCTGACACATAACACAAGGGAAAGTTTCATTATAGGATGAATTAGTTCTGTGATACCTACTATGTTTTGTGTACCATGAGCCAAAGTCCAAGCAAAAACTTGAAAGTAGGGATGTCTAACATTTCTCTTACTTATTCAAGCTAAGATGAAAATTTCTTGGGAGTAAGAGTTCAATGCTCTATGTTTCATTGTTGTACTCAGATTGCTTTGTCACTTTAGGAATTTTTTAATTTGCATTCTATAAGTTATGCCAAAGCATTTCATGTTACATGTATTTTGCCCAATGTTTTACTGATTGCATTCTTCAATATTAGTTACTGCTATTTGTATGTCTAAAGATTTTGATGAGCTTTAGAGCCTTGACCTTGCCATATGGGATAAAGTCACAAAAAGTAGTAGTGTTTTTTAAAGTTTATGCCAAAAAACCATTACAACTACTTTCTTTACTTTTGGAACTGCAAAATTGTAATATCAGAGTTAGATATTGATGTCTTGGCTACATGGTTGTACAGGGAGATTTCCCTTTGAATATCTATCTGCTTTTAAAGTCATCAGCTTGATGTTTTGAAGAATTTTTGTAAGATATCAGTCTATCCTGGTAACAGGAAATAGGGGATCCTTTTCAGTTGTGCTGTTAATTGTCTATTTATACCTTATTGTTTGTTGGTTTGGAGAAGCAATCAGGATTATGTTGCTTCAAAGTGGTACAAAAATTTTGTATGCTTTAATATGCTGCACTTTTACACCTAGTTCTTTGATTTGATACATAAATGTGGAATTCAATACTCTGCTGTAATATGATCATGCTTTTAGGGGAGAGTACAGAACCTAATTTATGAAATTTTGTGTGTAATGCAGTCAAAAAAATCAAAAAGGAGACTCAGACAACCGTCATTAGTCCCTGCAGGTTTTGCGAAGGTGATGAAGAAACTGGGTTTTTGTGCTTAAGTCTCTGCGACTCAACCATATGTTCTTCAGATGTGTTTGCCTCATTTTTTCTCCAATGTGCTCCAACTTTTTACGGTCAAGACCTGTTCTTGGAACATGACTAATTTTGTAGTCGAAAGATCGCATTTTAGATGGCGTTGTTGAACAAAGCAAATCTTCATTCAATTGTGAGACTGTTTTGGACAAGTAACGTTTGATACTACCAATGTCATGAGTTATTTTTAATGGATTTTTTTTTTCAGTATGATCTCTTCTAGGAATACTATGTCGTTTAAAGACAATAAACTTTGTTTGGTGTTGTTTTATAGAGATCGGATAAAATAAAGATAAGGAGAGGATGTAAGTTTGATGTACTTGTTGAGCTTGATTGAAGTGGAAATGTGATTTAAGTCATTGACAATGGTAATCTGAAGGAGTTGCGTTGTTTTACATTAACTTGTAAGATAATTATAGTTGTTCATAACTATAGTAACTTAAAATTTTAAAAATTTGACTTTTTAACTCAAGTCAATGGATACAAATTCTTAATCATAAATTAATAATGTTAGAGGTACTGCTTAAAATGATGTGATAGATTCCTTTTATGTAAGGCTTACAACTACGTGGAAAGACTAAAATGGACTAACATAAATTTCAAATTCATTTTTTTTGTTTTTCTACCAAGATAGGAAATTTCAAATTTCATTGAAAAGACAACTTTGAATCATTAAACTATCAATTTTGAAATCTCCATTACGCGCATTCAATTAATTATGCCACGTCATTTATTCACTGCTATCCAACTGTTCCTCGCTGGCTCAACCTAGCTTCCCCCTTTTTTATTAAGTGCCATTCACTTTTCACCGCACGGTCAGTCGCAGATTAGAATTTCAAAATCCCATTCTTTCTTCTTCAATAAAACCACAAAAAATCTTCGGAATCATCGACGCAGTCGTCATGCATTCGGAAATAAGATCAAATTCAGACTCGAAACATTTATCTCTTGCGGTGGTTGAGGAGCAAGAGCCAATGCCGCCTCAAGCGTGTAGTGAAAGCAAGATTGTGAGAAAATCTCCGCGATTCATTCCTACTCCGAGTTCTGATAATTTTATGCGACGGTCACCGCGATTCGTAAGTGCGGGAGTCGTTTTGAACGAGAAAAATAAACAATGTGGTACTGATTTAAAATTTTTTAATGATAAAAGTCCTAAAAGGCCGTTGAGATCTGCTGACAATGGCCAATTGAATAATGCTTCCGTCAAGGTACGCCGCCGTTTCTTTTAATTTTCTTTTGTTTAGGTTTATTTTTGCTGGTTTTGATGTTTTTGAGTAAATGTAGTAATTTTACCTGATTTTTGTGGCTGTGAATCTTGAAAATATGTAAAAAGGAAACAAAATTGAAGAGAAAAGTACTGTATTTCATTAATTATAGTCTACAGAGTCGCTAATTATCTATCATAATTATAGGCTAACAATGCTATGCTTTATGGCATTAAATTTTTGCTAGGAAAAGTTAGGAAGCATTCCTAGTTTTTGTCTTAAAATAGGTTAGTTTGTGCACTGTTTGGGTTACAAATAAACCAATATTTGTTAGTCTGTTGTTGAATATTAAAGGAAAAAAAGATTTAGTTACCTGATAACTGTCATTAATCTAGAAGAAGAGTGAGCCCTCCACTTCTGTTAAGAAGAAACAGAAGCAGAAGAATGATTCTTACTTGATCGGAGATCCAATAACTGCTGATGAAGCTCAAGAAAGATGGGGTTGGCGTTATGACTTGAAGGTAATAAAACAGCTACTCATTTTATTTGACTTCGGTTGACTCAAGTAAAATACAGTGTATGTTTTTGTACTAATGCAGGATGTTTCCTTTTATTGAGTAGGAAAAATAGCAACAACTATTAGTCTCTTGCCAATCAACTTAAGCTTTTCTGTATATAATTACGAATATCTATAAAAAAATGATGGGATAGGAGCATCTATATTATTAACAATCCCGTGATTTTTATATGCAGATAAACAAACTAATCCATCAACGTATGATTTATATTGCTCATAAAATAAAATATTGTGTGTGCTAAAACTAGAGCTACATTAAATTTAAGAAAATGGTTAATTTGGAGGAAATTATAATATCAAATCATTGTGGAATGGGAAAATTAAAATATTTTTATATACACCTATCACCATAGTCAAGGACTACAAAAAAATCAACTTGAGAAAATTAAGAGAAATTACAACCTAAGTTAACAGCATTTTGGTTAAACAGAGTTGGAAGATTTTTGCGTCTCAATGACAAGTTCAGTTTGTTTTTGTCATTTCTTTTTGAGATTCAATGCTGTTTGTCAACTGAGGATACAAGAGAGGAAAAAATCATTGTTCCATGTATATGTTGGACATATTTGTTTCTAAAGTTTGGGAGGATCTCCATCAAATGACTAAGCTTCGACTAGAGTGTGATTCCCTTTTGGCATTGACTTGTGATTCCCCATATTTACAGGGAAGGCAATGCAGTGGTTGACTCTGGTGAACTTGGGATTATCTTGTTCAGATATTTATTGGTGGGATGCTCTCCCTTATATTTAGAGTCTTTTTCTTCATGAGTTATGGGGATTACCTGTTATAGATTTTCTTGCAGTCTTCTGTTTCAATCATGGTTTATTTTATTTTGATTCTTAATTCTTTCTTGAAAGGATTTCTTGTCTTCTCTTAGCCTATGCATTGGATCATAATGTTGTGATCTCATAGTTTCTGCCCTTTATTATTGAATAGAGCAAAAGCCATTGTTTTCATAACCAACCCGGGGTGAAAACCCGACAAAGTTGTCGGGTACTAGGTTGACTGGTCGGTCAAACCAGGTGTCCAAAAGTTTAAAATTCAGCAAATAGACCCCTAAAAATGACAAGTAAGTCCCTACATGTTTGAAATTTAGCAAATACACCCTAAATACAAATTGTCGGTCGATTGGTTGGCGGCAATCACCTTTGTTGCCACCATTGCACTCACCGGCCTTTCCTCTTCAAAACCCCCAACATCTGAGCCTTCAGTTATTCGCCGATTATCATCCCAATTTCTAAGGTTTTTGATAATTAGGGAAATTGGTAGCACTGCCCAGGTGAAGGCCTTGGATCCCGGTTGAGCCGGCCGGGCTAGGCCAAGTTTTAAAACATTGGCAAAAGCTACTTACATATCCTCAAGTTTACTAAACCAACACTTGGACTTCACATTTTTTGAAAATTACCATTTACTTCCCCTACTGTTAGCTTTTGGGGTTAAAGCTAATGGTAGATCATTTTGATCAATAACAAAAAAAATAAAATAAAATAAAATTCCCTCATTATAACAACTAGAAATTAAAGAAATCCAAAAATTCTGAATTTTTATTTTTTAAAATAAAAACTAAAAGTTCAGAGACATTACCTTAATCGCATGACATTCCAAAAAAAAAAAAAAAAAAAAAAAAAAAAAATCTGGAACAAGTTATTAAAAAAAAATGAGTCAAACTTGTGAGCTTGTGGTTTTAATTTAAATTTAGGATTTTATTTCAAACGTTCAGAAATTTAATTACTTTTCTGATTTTTTGTTTTACGGAAAATCATGATTTATGGGTATTTTTCCCCCAAATTTTCTAGAAGTTTACTTGTAGGGACATATGGTGGTAAAATAGTCAACTGCTAGGGTTATTTTTATTTTTTATTTTTTTGGGGAGAGGGAAGTGGTAATTTTCAGAAAAGTGGGGTTCAAAGTTCGAAAACTTGAAGAGAAGATTATATTAAGAATATTTGTTGGTTTACGTGTTTTTTCATGCAACATGGTTGGAAGTATGTATCATAATGAAAAAGAGGAACGAAGAAAGAAAGTTTCATGTTTTGCTCAATACACAATTTGACATTTGTTGGGGATGTTTTGGAGTTTGCAGAGTCAGAGATCGAAGGGAAAAGACTGCACATCAAAGTAATAATTTGCAAGCCTGTCTCTTTTTCTGTTTCTTACTGTCTCCTGTTATTTAGAGTTTATTTGGGTTTCAACTTTGAGCATACATTTTGTAGTGATGATGATGAAGACAAGATAATATCAAATGTGGAATGTCATTATGCTGAAGCTCATATTGGTGATTGCATTTTTTGTCTTGGAGATTGTGCATATATAAAGGTAAATATTCTTTATATTTTTTGAATTACAAAAAGATAATGGTCCAACTAGTGCAATTTCCACATTTCATTTTGATGCATTCTTACTTTTTCTTTTTCCCACATGTTAATATGGAGCTATGTTACTTTGTAATGTTGGGCTCAATAAAATAGTATCACATGTGATTTGGCTAGATCTTTCTATTTGTAATGAGAAAAAAGATATGCAGTAATTTGAGCATGTCATTAGTAATTCGAGTATCAAAGTTATCAAAATGAATGAGATCATATAATTAAATATGACTCATAAATTACAATTTTTGTTTCTTCGAAATCTTTTGGGCCGAGTTGGAATGAGATCATATAATAGTAGGGTTTTCAAAGATTGGACTTTTGGTATACTATGTTTGACACCAAAAAGCCAATAATTTGGCTATAGAATCAAGGTATATTTACATGGTAAGCAATTTTTACAGGGTGAAGGAGCTCAAAAACATGTTGGCAGAATCTTAGAGTTTTTCAAAACAACAGACGGAGAAGAATACTTTCGAGTCCAATGGTTCTATAGAGCTGAAGATACGGTGCGTTACTATAATGGGTTTTTACTAGGTTATGTCATATATATCTCCCATTATTTGGTGCTTCTCATTTATGTTTGTTTTTCAGGTTATGCAAGGCGTTGCTGCCTTTCACGATGGAAAACGCTTATTCTATTCCACTGTAATGAATGATAATCCGGTAGATTGCATTATTTCAAAAGTTAATGTCACACAAAAACCACCGAAGGTAAGTTCCAATCGGGATTTAACTTTCCTAACCAGAATTCTGTCTATTGTAGATCAATATTTGATTTGTTTGTATTTTTGACTTCTCACAGTTTGGTTTGAAATCAAACTCTGCTTCATCTTCTGGCTTCTACTTTGACATGGAGTACTGTGTGGAGTATTCAACATTTCGAAGTTATCAAATTGGTAAGTGGTGGGGCTTATTGAAGTAATTTAATCAAACCATGATCACCAACAATTTTACGTTAAGAAATGATATAATATGGGTCTAGTTGTCTAGCCTATATGAATCATTGGATTAGTAGTGCATGGTACCAATTCTAATAAATTCAACTATTGGTACCATCTAATTACATTATTGGGCAGGTATCACAGTGAGACCCCTTTATGACGTTATTAACAGAGAAAGTTATAGCTATTTTAATTATCAGTTTGATCATTAAAAGGATGATAACATTTCGCAGTAAATTTTTCATTGTAGTCAAATTGCTTAGCAAAATATTATCTTGTCCTTATAATTTATTTCTATTATTCCTATGATCCAGTAAATCTGATAAGTTCCTCAGTAATCTGATCAATTGATATTAATTTTGTTTAACAGAATGATACTTCCTTTTCTTGTTTAAATTTCATTGATTGATGTACCACTAAATTTTTGCACAACTATATCTAATTTAATATGTTGCTTCAGACAATTCTTCCAAGGTTCCTGTTTTAGCATTAGCCCCTTGCACTGAGACTGTTCCTACAGCAGCCACTGTGACTTCCTTGGAAATTATTCCCAGTTGTGAAACTTTCAAAGAGAAGTTGGTGCTATTAGATCTTTATTCTGGCTGTGGAGGAATGTCAACTGGATTATGCATGGGAGCCAAACTTTCTTGCATTGATCTTGTGACGGTACTTTCATTAATATGAATTTTCTTTTTTTACTGAAATCATAATTCAATACACCATTTACGTCATAAAATATAAGCATAGCTTTAAATGTCATTTTTTTTTCCTTTATGCAGAGATGGGCTATTGATATTGACAAGTCTGCGTGCAAAAGCTTGAAGTTGAATCATCCAGAGACACAAGTGAGACTACAAACTTTGTTCCATCACAGTATCCACAAGACCTTAAAGTACTATGATATATCTTTCTTTTTTTTTTTTTTTTTTTTTTTTTTTTTTTAATGTGCAGGTTAGGAATGAAGCTGCTGAGGATTTTCTTGAACTATTGAAGGAATGGCAAAAGCTATGCAAACGGTATGCAATAAATAACAAAGAAAATACACGTCCATCACGTTCAGAGGTCTCAAGGTCAGCAACCAACAATGTAAGTTCTTCCAGTGGTGCTGATATCCCCACTGGTGAATTCGAAGTTGCTAGTGTTGTTGATATTTGTTATGGTGATCCTGACAAGACAGGCAAGCGTGGACTAAAATTTAAGGTACTGAACAAAGTACTATTTTGTTGGGATCGTGTTTTGCTTTCCGTTCATAGTTGCCCGTGGTACTGTTTAATACACATTTGTGACTTTTGTTTGACATTGTAGTTTGGTGAAGATGATTTTCTACTCATAGCTATTTCGTTAGGTGCATTGGAAGGGGTATGGTACAAGTGAAGATTCATGGGAACCAGTTGAAGGATTAAGGTATTCTTAAATTGATTATTAATACTTTTCGATTTGGTTGTTAATTATTCATATGATATTTCCTCAGTAATTGCCAAGAAAGGGTACAGGATTTTGTAATAAAGGGTTTCAAGTCTAAGATCTTGCCAATTCCTGTAAGTTCTCTTTCACCAAAATTTAGAGCTAGATGATTAGTACTGTAAGCTTATTATTTGTGTCAGACTTCCACATCCTAATGACAATACTCTCCAGGGTGATGTTGATGTTATTTGTGGAGGCCCTCCATGCCAAGGAATTAGTGGCTATAATCGATTCAGAAATGTTGATTCCCCTTTGGATGATGAAAGAAATCGTCAGATAGTAGTCTTCATGGACATAGTGGAATTCTTAAAACCTAAATTTGTGTTAATGGAGAATGTGGTTGACATTCTGAGATTTGATAAGGCTTCTCTAGGAAGATATGCTTTAAGTCGATTGGTACATTTGAAATACCAAGCAAGGCTTGGTATCATTGCAGCTGGTTGTTATGGTCTCCCCCAATTCCGATTGCGTGTTTTCTTGTGGGGAGCACATCCTACTGAGGTGATTTTAATTTTTTGGACCAAACTGACTGATGAGATTTCTCTGGTTGTTTGACTTTTTGTGTACCCAACCTTGGACACAAACCAATAAGTAATGTTCTATTAGTATTAAAGTGATCCTCTATCTTCAGTAAAAAAGATCAATTCAAGTGCCATTCAAATTATTTAACACTCATATAAAATGCTTTGTTAGGCTGAACCGGTGACTTCAATTTGCATGATCGTCCAACAAGCTTTTAACTCTTTTGTTCTTATTTTTTCGATAGAAACTACCCCAATTTCCACTTCCTACACATGATGTCATCGTCAGATATTGGCCTCCACCTGAGTTTGAGGTATTGATTTTCTTTTAGTTAAACCTTGGATGTCTACCCAAAGAGTTAATTTGATCTCTTGTTACAGCGTAATACTGTTGCTTATGATGAAGAACAACCTCGTGAACTTGAAAAACCCATTGTTCTTCAAGATGCCATTTCTGATCTTCCAGCCGTAAGCTTCTTGCATTTCTTTTGATGATCTACAGCTTTAATACAATTTAACAGTATTTCAGATCTTCATTTTATTGATATTCTACATGATAGGTCCAAAGCCATGAAGCTCGGGAGGAAATGTTGTATGAAAAGCCTCCGGAAACAGAGTTTCAAAGATTTATAAGGTCAAGAAAATCTGGTAATAGTATTTAATCAATTTAAAATAATGAATATAATATTTGCTCTTTCATTCATAATTGCAGTTCGCTTGGTTCTGCAGTAGAACTCTGCTTTTAGATTTTTGAATGGTCTATAATAAGGTTTCTTGCCATTAGTATGATGTAAGGGTATTTTAATATGGTTATTTACTATTGATAATATATGAGGCTATTATATGTTTGTGGAAGTCTTTACCTTTTTGCATATCGTTCTTTTCTCTCTAATTTAAAACCTTAACTTGATCTTGACATTTGTAATGTGTTTGCACATGTATAACAAGAGAGGAGGGGAGATTATAATGGAACTAATTTTTTGACCATGTGTTTTTCCTTTTCCTTACTTTTACCTCCTGTTCTTGGTTCTTTAGAGATGATCGGTTTTGGACTCAATGATTCTAAAAGTAAAAAATGCATATTGTATGATCATCGACCTTACCAGTTGTCTGAAGATGATTATATCAGGGTTTGCCAAATCCCAAAAAGGAAGGTTAGATAAATTCAAATGTTTTTTTACTGATATATTGTGCTTTTGACATCTGCTGATACTTTTATTTTACCAATTTTACAGGGAGCAAATTTCAGGGACCTCCCTGGTGTAGTTGTTGGAGCTGACAATGTGGCTAGGCGAGATCCAACAAAAGAACAAATGTTGTTACCGTCTGGAAAACCAATGGTGAGAAGTTTGTCACCATTCTCTACTAGAAGAGTATTAACATTATGATTAATATTATTATTATTTATTTTCTAAGCTATTTGTTGTTAAAACTATGTTTATCAGGAGATTTTAGGGGCTTCTACTAAAAGAGTCATTTCATAAATTGAAATGATCTTATCATTTTAGTTTTATTCAACTAAAACAGCAACTAATAGATAAATAATAAAAATATGTATAGACCAGTCATATGACAAAAAGATCAAAAGAAGCAAGAGTGAACTTCACTGTCAACTTATCTTGGAAGGTCATAATAGGCTCAAGAATATGGTGGAAAATGTTTGATGATTTTAGAAAACAATTGAATTTGGACAAACCTAGAGCATAGTAAAAGATGTGGATAAGGAAGATGTGAAGCAAAATGATCTGAAATTGAACATATAATCAAATGGGGTTGCAGTGTGGCCATTATAAAATTTGCAAATTCATATTCTTGCTTTCTGCCAGAATGGAATAGCGTTCAGATAAAGTGAAATTTCTAATAACTATGTAATCTGGTTTATGTGCTCATAGGTACCTGATTATGTCTTCTCTTTTGAACAAGGAAAGTCCAAAAGGTTAGATATTTCCTTGTGCAGCCCTTTTGATAATTCTGTCATTTCCCTCCTAATTTTTTAATACTATGTTTGCAGACCATTCGCTAGGTTATGGTGGGATGAGAACGTTCCAACTTTAGTGACTTTCCCAAATCTTCACAGCATGGTCTACTCTTGCTCTAGTGTTTTTTTTGTTTTGTTTTTTTTATTGCTCTTTTGTTTTAGTAACAGGCTCACATGTCTGGGATATGATTTGAGTGATTAAATTTTTGTAGCCAATGCTACATCCAGAGCAAGATCGAGTTCTCACTGTACGGGAATGTGCTAGGTTGCAAGGGTTTCCTGATTATTATAGATTCTGTGGAACGGTCAAAGAGAGGTATAATTTTGTTTGAAAGCATGATTCCACGCTACTCCCCCTTTAAATAATTTCATGTCTGTGGGCTTTATTTTCATTTATTTATTTAGAGCAGTTTTTGTTAACTCAAGGGAAACAAACATCAAATGGCTCTTTAGAACAAACTCCCTGTGATGCATAACACCAAGTGAAGACTTGTATAGCCACATTTCTATGATTGGTCACAGTGTAGCCTTTTAATAGCCTGCATAAAAGTGAACTAGTTAAAAAGGAACTATATATGAAATTAAATCAGGACCTTCGGGGACCATAGTCACCCTAGAGACTGAAATTTTCTTAATTTCATTAACCATGCATTGTATATTCTTGTTTATATGTTTGTTAATTTGTGCAGATATGCTCAGATTGGAAATGCAGTTTCTGTTTCTGTGTCTCAAGCCTTAGGATATGCGCTCGGACAAGCGGTTCAAAAACTGAGTGGTGATGATCCTTTGATGACCCTGCCCCCCAAGTTTTCCCATTCAACTAATCTTGAACTAGGCAAGTCTCTATTTCAGAAGACTGATTAGCATTCAATTTTTTCATCCCTTGAACAAATCTTGTTATTTTTTGCAATGCATAAAACTAGTCTCTAGATCAGAGTGGAAACGGTTATGGAGGGTAGAGCTTAGAACGACTTTTCTTTATGTTGTAATTTTTTAAGGGAGATTTTCAATTTATTTTTTTAAAGGATTCCTTTTTCATCGTCGATTTGGTTTGGGTTCCAGAAAAAAAAAAAAATGATTTGACATGGTATGCATTGCGGATCGGATCCTTTTAATTTTATTGCAACCTATGGCAAACATAGGGAATGAAGCAAATTGTTTAGAGACTATTTAATGCAGAATTTATATGTTTTTTTTCTTTTATTAAAATAATGACAAAAAAAATTAACGCATTTAGTTGAAATGTTTTAAAATATCATTGTTGGATGTAATTAATTTCCTTAAGTTTTATTTTTTGGGTTAATTATTGAGATATTAGAGGAACCTACAATGCAAAGATTAATATATTTTGATGATAACTCATAACTGATATCCCTTATTCAATACTTACTTAGGCTTATATAGTCATTTAATTTCATGTTCATCATTTTCCTTTAATTGGATTTACAGTTAAGCCCTCATTCTATAAAGAAACATCTCATCAAATCTGATGCCAGTTTAAGAAAAATAGCAAGCGTTTATACAAATCAGCTACCCGTTATTGATATCACTACAAAACGTATTATGAATTGGATTTTTTTTTTTTTTTTAAATGCAGTTTTGCATACCAATTGTTGATTTTATGTTGTAACGAGTTAAAGAATCTTTTTTTGAGATAAGCGACTTTTATCCACCCAAATTGGTCTAATGACACTTTCTGAATCAAAACGTTTCAAAATACAATTTCATTATTTTTTAGTAAATTTTGTTATGAAGAAAGGTAAAATGGTCAAAAGTCCCTTATAAGTAAGGATAGGATGGTCAATCAACATTTTACATCAAAAATCAAAATTTAAAATTGAAGTCTGGGTAGTTATAGGGCTAGGGCGTTGACATGTGTCCCACCCAAGTTTACCTTAGATAGAAAAAAGGAGATACAAGAGGTGGTGATGGGGAGGTGGCTTAGATCCGGCCAAAATGGAGGCGGACAAGGTTGGGGAATGGATGGGTTTTGTCGGGGATGAGTGGGGGAAGCTAGTGGTGGTGGCGGTTATGTCTAATGACGTCAGAATCCGACTAGATTTGAATTTTTTCAACAGCCGTGAGGGAGGGAAAAATCGCGGAGAAAAGGCTTAGAGTCGATAAAAATGGAGGCGGATGAGGTTGGGGAATAGATGGGTTTTGTCGGGATGAGTGGGGGAAGCTAGTGGTGACATTAGAATCCGACTAGATCTGGATTTTTCTAGTAGTCACGAGGGGGAAAACTGTGGAGAAAGGGCTCAGATTGGCCAAAATAGAGGCAAACGAGGCCGGGGATGGATGAGTTTTTTTAGGGATGAGTTAGGGAAGCTAGTGGTAGTGGCAGTGATGTCCAACAACGCTTGAATCAGACTAGATCTAGATTTTTCCTGTAGCTGTGAGGGAGGGGGAAAAACTCAAGAGCAAGTGAAAAAAGGGGCAAATCGGTTGGAATGGAAGTGGTAGGTGGAGGGAGGTGAGGTCAGCTGAAAAGGTGAAGAAACTCGGTAGAAAGCCGATAAGAGATGTCGGCAACGACGGCTTTGAAATCTCAACAGCTACTCATTGATTTAAAAGCATTAGGGACAAATTGGTAATTTAGTTAAGTAAAATATTAAAGGGCATTTTCGTCTTCACAATAAATATTACTGTATTTAACGAAAATTATTAATAAAATATAACGTTTGGATAGTAAAATTATATTTTAAAATATTTTGGGTGAGAAAATGTCGTTAGACCATTATTTGGGTGAGAAAAAGTTGTTTACTCATAAATTAATACAACGTGTTATTTAGTACCACAGTAATATTATCCGAATCACCAATCACTTGCATGTATTCCATAATTTATACAGTACAATACATTGTGGCATTCGTGTAGTAGCCTGGAACATAATCATACTGGAAAACAAGCAAAAAAGAAATGACTAAAGCAGGAAGGTTCCATGGAGATGATAGAGGGCAAAATTTTACAATCCAAGAGATCAATAAAATTTGAAAACTTAATTTTATTACTTATAATATTACTTACTGTATGAACTGCTGACTGCAGAAATATAAGATCTTCATAAAAATTGCTTCAAGTAGTCATCCATCCTGGTGTATTTCACCTCAGGATAAAGCCTTGAAGCTTCTTCTTGGCCTTCACCAATTTCGAAGTTTGTTAAACAACCTTCATAGAATATATGATAGAAATGTCCTATTGCCACTTGTCCTGCATAGTCCGTATCTGCATTCAAACACAGAAATTATTAAATTAATTACTTTTTTTATTAAAGTAAAAAACCATTAATTAGGTCATCGTTTTCTGCTTAATTCATACCTTTCATGGAGGCCAGGAAGTCTTCTTTAGAAATATGAACTTTCTCTAGTTTCTTCCCGCTCAGCTTTTCCCAAATCTCCACTAATTGTCTTTGGGAAAGAATGTTCTCTGGTGGCCTCAAGTACACTGTTTTATTTAACGTACGAGGATCGTCTATTGTCTTAATCGCATATGTTGCTATATCATCTTCGTCCATGAATATAACTGCATGCAAAAAAAAACTGTGCATGAAAAGATACGTAAATAGGTCTCTACTGGAACATTGAAATAAATTAAAGGTGACAAATTAACTTATAATTGTACCTTTGCTATTGCCATCCCCATATATTAAAACCTTTTCTTTCGGGGGGACGAGCGTGCCAAGTTGAGAAAGGTTTCCGGCGAAGTAACCAGCAAAACAATTAGCAGAAACATAAGTGAATGGGATTTTAGCTTCCTCTATTGCCTTTCTCACTACCATTTTCTCATCAAATGTTACTCTTCCTGGTTCAATTGCATTTCCCATTCGTGCCGGATCCATTCCAAATTCTGAAGGCAAGAAACGCTGCACCAAACCAAAAAAAAAAAAAAAAGGTTTAAGCTCTCTTCAGATTTTTGTTCATATGCCTATAAATTGTATTTTACGTCTCACATTAGATAGATATAGGTTGGATCATAACCTTGTAAAATCATGTAAACAATATTATCTAATAGCATCTCTAAATGACTCTTTATATGACATAAACTCTTTATTATAAAGACTTTATCTATAGAAACAAGAGTCTAACAGACTCTTTATTGTTTAAATATAAATTAAAGAGTAAGTTTGACTCTCCATATTTTACTCTCTATCCTATTATTAAATAATAAATTGCAAGTTTCTATGCATTTTGTTTATGATTTATCCTTTTTATTAAATTTCTTTCTTGAAAAAATATATTCTCTCTCCTAAAATTTAAAGAGTTTATTAGATTTGGATAAAAATTGTGTTCTTTATATTTAAAAATTAATGAAGATACTCTTTATTTTTATGAAAGATATTCTTTAAAATAAATAGCACAATTGAAGATGCTCTAAGAGCATCTCCAATGGTACTCTTTATTTTGAAGAGCATTTTTCATAAAAATAAAGAACATATTTATTCATTTTTAAATATAAAGAACATAATTTTTATTCAAATCCAATAAACTCTTTAAATTTAATGAAGATGTTTTTTATTTTTAAGAAAGAGACTTAATGAGAAAGAGAATTAATAAATAAAATGCATAGGAACTTGTAGTTTATTAATTAAAATTAAGATAGAGAGTGAAATTTGACTCTCTAAATATGAAGAGTCAAACTCACTCTCTAATTTATATTTTAAAGATAAAGAGTCTGTTAGACTTTTTGTTTTATGAATAGATTCTTTATAATAAAGAGTTTCGATCATATAAAGAGTCATTTGGGGACGCTCTAATATATTAATCTTTTAGATATTTGGTAAACACCGACACTGACATAGATAGTATTAATAATAGGTTAAAACTAATAAAAAAACTAATGATAATGCAATTAGCATCACCTAATGCATGACAAATGTAACTAAAAGTGGTATTTAAAAATGCTTTCGGTAGTGTCAAATGTAATAACTTTAATCTTGTTTAAATAAGTAGCTATAATATAGGTTGGATTCTATAGTACTTCTGAAACATAAAAGAGACATGCATGAAAAATTGAAAATTAAACAGAAGTTCTTATTCTCAAACCATATATTATATCTACCATTTCAGCTTAAATATATTAATTAAACCACAAAATAAAGCTAATATACCTTAACGTTTCCAGCTTCTTTGATAGCCTCAACAAGCTTCAGCTGCAACATAATGTTGTGGCTCCGAAAATGCACCCCAGACATGGCGGAAATCACCACGTCAACTTGTTTCACAGCTTCAACAAGGCTACCGAAATCCGAAAACGAGCCCTCAATGAGGCGAGCCCCTTGCTTCTTAAATGACAAAAGCATTTGAAGCTTATCGATGTCGAGGCCAATCTCCGGCCTTTGAAGAACATAAGTTATATGTCCCTGCGCTAAACTTGCCCTCACAAGTCTCCTCCCAATATAACCCGTGCCCCCAACAACAAGAACCTTGCTCTTCCCCATTCTTTTTTTATGTTTGGTTCGATCGATGAAGTTGCAGAGGAGCAGAGAGTTATATAGAGAATTGATGGTGGATTTGTTTTGTTTTATATATTATAAAACGTTGGCCAGGAAGGAAATATATAAAGTTTAAAATTATATATTGAATATGGTTAGGTGTAAAAATGTCTTTGGAGTTCTTGAAAGCATGAAGATAAAATTGTACAGTGAATACGATGATGGGTTGGATATGTTGACACGTAATTATATAATAATATAATGGATAATATAATAGAAGTTGGTGGAAGCTGGGCATTTTGACAATGTATGGCTGAGCAACGTTGCCATTGATCCATCGATGGAAGGATTTTAATCAATTTCGTGTTGATATGTTAATCAATTACCACTATTATAACATTTTATTAATTAAATTCAAACACGTTTATGGATAGAAGAAGTCTATAATTATAATCAAGTGCTATAATTAGTAATGTTATTTTTACATCATTTTTGTCACATTGATATATATCATATCTAAATAAAATTTTAATATTATAATAAAATTATTATTAATAAAATAGTTATGATGTAAAAAAGTAACACCACTCTAGTTTTAAATCTATTAATTATTGATTTATGGGTCCAACCTGATTTGAAAGCAACCGCAGCTTTAGAATCATGAAACAGTTGAATTGATATCTTTCCTTTAAATCTTTAATAAAGATATGTTGTCTTCAAAGAGTTAAATACATTTTGGTCCTTGAAGTTTGGCCCAAGTAACATAGGATTCAGCCGAATCTGATAGTAAGACTTAGGTCCTTATGAGGTAACAGCTTTTTAATTTTTTTTAAAAGTCTAAAATATCCATAATCTTTTATTATGTAAATGAAATTAAAAATTAATAGAATTATACAAATAAATAAACGATTGCAAACTGAGTGTTTTAGTAAAAATTTAGAGCAATTACAAATTATAAAAGAATAAATATAAACAAATTTAAGGTATTTTAGACATTTCTAAAAAATTAAAAAAACTTAAACCTTGTAAGAACCTAAATGTTACTATCTCTTATTACTTAGCCCATACCTCAGTCACCAAAATAGATTTAGCTCTATCTTTAAAAGCGGAATAACGTTATGTGAAAAACTTTTCACCCCTTGGTTTAAGAGTTACCCCAAAGTTATTCTCTGTGAATTTCATTTTCTATTTGATTAGCTTTTACCACTAAAATTCTAGTTTTACCCTTTTTTTTCATTATTAGAAGGATAAATAATTACTAAAAATTTCATGAAAAATAACAATTATTAACAAATTAGGCAAATCATCAAATATGAAAAAAAATTAATCCTATAAAGTTCATACAAAATCATAATTTCTTTTTTTTTTTTTTTTTTTTTATGTTATACACGTTAGGTGAATTGGTAAGATTGTCCTCTCACGATTAAATATAACATTTTAATTAGGAAAAAGAAGATAATATTAGATGTTTCCGAAACTAAAGGAAAAATCAAGGTCACAATGTTATTTGGCCTATCTTTAAATTATTGGTGTGTCCCACTTCTTTGAAAAAAAATAAAAAAGGCCACCCAGGAACATCACGAGTGTTAAGTCCATTGTTTTAAAACCCGGACTGGAGGACAACCCGTTTTGCTATCCAAGTCATGGGTCATCCGATTGGACTAATGATGTCAGCGACAATTTTATTTTTTAAAAATTACTATTATCCCTCAAATTTTAATATATTACAAAATTCCCTTAAAAAGCTTAAATTAGTCCCTAAATTTTTTATTTATTTGAAAAATACCTCCAAAAATTACCAATTAATCTCTAAACTTTTGATATATCTCCAAAACACCCTTATAAAATTATAATTAACCCTTATAATTTTGAAATATTACAAAAATCTCCTAAAACCTGAACCGGACTAGAGAAGCCGTCGAGTCTCGGTCTGACCGGTCCGGTTTGGTTTTTGAAACAGAGGTGTTAACATGATTCCTAATAGCAAATTCACAGCATTTCCATGTGATATTGAAGTCAGAATAAGAGTTTTGAAATCATTCATAGGACAATTGGATATAGATATTATGTACTTCGTACTTTTTATTTCTAAAATAAAATATACCCATTATTTTCCTTCAATTTCAATATACAAAATAGAGTAAGAGAAGGTTCAAGATCCATACCCGGTCGGGGAAAGTATAGAGCTTAAGTGGATAGATTCAGTAGATTATGTTGATTAGCCGTCTAAGTCAAGCCCATCCAAGCCAGCCTTGGTCAGTGATCCATACGATGGGCTTACTTTAAAACTGTTGTCTTAACTCTTAAATCAAATAAGCAAAAGAACAATCACTGTCAAACCAAATGTGCACATTTAATAAAAAGAAAATAATACAATTATCAAAAGATGTACACCGAATTCGTGTACCGAATGACCTGACAAAATTCTGACTATTGATTAATTATGAGTTAATATTAATCGACGGTCAGAATTTTGCCATGTCATTTAGTGCACACTTTTCAATAACTGTATCATTATTCTAAAGTATTCAACTTGGTTTCTTGCAAGTTCTAAGATTAATTTTTAATTCTCGATATTTCTTTTTAATCATAATATAACTATCGATTTAATTACAATAAGAAATTAGTAAAAGAAAAAGTGGAAGTTAAATACAATTTCCTTTTAATGATTTATTTTACCCAAACCTTGGAAGAGATTTCTGAAAATAAACCCAATTTTTCAGCTTTCATTTGTTTTATTTAACATTTTAGGCATACTAAATTTAGCACTTTTTAAATTAAAGTCATTTTCTATAATTTTTTTCAATATGAGATAACCAATAAGAAAACAAATTACCTCGTCCTGTAAACTGAAATCGAACATTAATTAATAAAGAACCATAAATTTTCCCTTTTAATCATTTTTTTTCCCCAAGGCAATAGCCCATCCAGAAACACCAATGACTTCCATTAAAGTAAATGAGAAATTACAATGAAAATGGGATGAGTGGAGGAAGCTAGTGGTGGTCGCAGGGATATCCAACAACGCTTGAATTAGACTAGATTTAGATTTTTCTTGTAGCTATAAGGGAAAGGAAAAACTCAAGAGAAAGTTAAAAAAGGGCCAAAAAAGGGTCAAATCGGTTGGAATGGAAGCGGACGGTGGAGGGAGGTGAGGTCAGCTGAAAAGGCAAAGAAACCCGGTAGAAAGCCCACAAGAGATGTCGGCAACGACTTTGAAATCTCAACAGCTACTCATTGATTTAAAAGCATTAGGGGCAAATTGGTAATTTAGTTAAGTAAAATATTAAAGTACATTTTCGTCTTCATAATAAATATTACTATATTTAACAAAAATTATTAATGAAATATAATGTTTGGATAGTAAAGTTATATTTTAAAATGTTTTGGGTGAGAAAATATCGTTAGACCATTATTTGGGTGAGAAAAAGATGTTTACTCATAAATTAATACAATGTATTATTTAGTACTACAGTAATATTATCCGAATCACCAATCACTTACATGTATTCCATAATTTATACAGTACAATACATGGTGGCATTCCAAATATGCCGTAATTGGATAGTAGCCTGGAACATAATCATACTGGAAAACAAGCAAAAAAGAAATGACTAAAGCAGGAAGGTTCCATGGAGATGATAGAGGGCAAAATTTTACAATCCAAGGGATCAATAAAATTTGAAAACTTAATTTTATTACTTATAATATTCCTTACTGTATGAACTGCTGACTGCAGAAATATAAGATCTTCATAAATATTCTTTCAAGTAGTCATCCATCCGGGTGTATTTCACCTCAGGATAAAGCCTTGAAGCTTCTTCTTGGCCTTCACCAATTTCGAAGTTTGTAAACAACCTTCATAGAATATATGATAGAAATGTCCTATTCCCACTTGTCCTGCATAGTCCATACTGCATCAAACACAAATTATAAAATAATTACTTTTTTATTAGAGAAAAACCATTAATTGGTCATCGTTTCGCTAATTCATACCTTTCATGGAGCCAGGAAGTCTTCTTTAGAAATATGAACTTTCTCTAGTTTCTTCCCGCTCAGCTTTTCCCAAATCTCATAATTGTCTTGGGAAAGAATGTTCTCTGGTGGCCTCAAGTACACTGTTTTATTTAACGTACGAGGATCGTCTATTGCTTAATCGCATATGTTCCTATATCATCTTCGTCCATATACAACTGCATGCAAAAATTGTGCATGAAAGAGTTAAATAGTTCTCTATGGAACATTGAAATAAATTAGGTGAAAATTAACTTATAATTGTACCTTTGCTATTGCCATCCCCGTATATTAAAACCTTTTCTTTCGGGGGACGAGCTTGCCAAGTTGAGAAAGGTTTCCGCGAAATAACCAGCAAAACAATTAGCAGAAACATAAGTGAAGGGATTTTAGCTTCCTCTATTGCCTTTCTCACTACCATTTTCTCATCAAATGTACTCTCCTGGTTCAATTGCATTTCCCATCCGTGCCGGATCCATTCCAAATTCTGAGGCAAGAAACGCTACCCAAAAAAAAAAAAAAAAAAAAAAAAAGTTTAAGCTTCTCATATTTTTGTTCATAGCCTATAATTGTATTTTACATCTCACATTAGATAGATAAAGTTAGATTCTAGCCTTGTAAAATCAGTAAACAAGATTACTAAGATCATCTCTAAAGACTCTATATACTAAGCTCTTTATTATAAAAGTTCATCCATAGAAACAAGAGTCTACCAGACTCTTTATTCTTTAAAATATATAAAAAATTGAGTTTGTTCTCAATTTAGAGAACAATTTCACTCTCTATCCTAATTTTAATAATAAATACAAGTTTTTTATATTTTATTTAGATTTATCTCTTATATTAAGTTTCCTTCTGAAAAAACATATTCTCTCTCCTAAAATTTAAAATCTATAGATTTAATAAAAAATTTGTTCTATATATTTAAAATACTGAAGGATGCTCTTTATTTTAATATGTTAATCTTTTAGATATTTGGTAACACCGTCACAACCAATAGTATAATAAAAGGTCAAACTAATAAAAAACTAATGATAATGCAATTAGCATCACCTAATGCATGACAATGTAACTAAAAGTGGTATTTAAAATGCTTTCGGTATGTCAAATGTATACTATAAATAAAAATTTGACTAAGTTAGTCAAATTTTTTTTTTTTTTATACAAAT